GGCCCAGGTCGTTCTGTAGATCAAGTCCTCATGAACCACAGAGCTCCGACGGCTAACCTACAAAAACGGGATTGTAGGGTGTCTATGTGTGTGCGGGCTACGTGAGCGGGCACCACACTTGCGTAAGTCATGACGGGCCTTATGTAAGTTTTTTAATGTGTCACCTTGTTGCGAAGAGACATTTTACTCCGCTTACAGATCATGGGGTAGGGAGTCTGCCGAGAATAAGCCCGTCGCGGTCGTGGACTGATTTTATATGCGGGTGGAATGCTATGAATGCATCCAGGGTGACTCCCAGATACTTGACTTTCCTGGCCCAGAGTATGGGTTGACCGAAGAGGGTGACCGGGGATGTGATATTTCTCCTCCTAATGCTGTAGGAAATACGCGTTGAGTTTCCTCTGTGAAATAGCACTGCTGTGGTTTTCGCTGGGTTGATGTCTATGCGCCATTTTAGGAACGACTAATCGAGTACTTTTTTCTGCTCAAGTAGTGTACGGTTTTGCCGTCAGGAATAAGGCTAACTGGGTCGGCGGCGACCGGGGAATTTCGTGGATAAATAAACTAATTAGGAAAAGCGAGAGGACTCCAGCCATGAGCGGTCGCGGTGAGGGGCGGGTTCCTTCGACACGATATCGAAAATAGCGGTTCGACAAGAAGTCCCGTATGATGAGCACGAGACTGTCCGGCACGCCCTTGTTGAAAAGTTTAAAAAACAAACCGTTGTGCCAGACTTTGTCGAACGCTTTTGTGACGTCGAAGAAGAAATTTCCCGTGTAGAACGGTTTTGGTCGGTTAAGCCCTTCGTGAATGTGTTCCGTGAGGCGGTGCACCTGTTGAGTGACTTGCGCGGAATCCGAATAGTTCATCGATGAGAATGTCCTTGGATGAGACGAGGTCTCTGAGGCGTTTCTAGAACAGACGCTCATACAACTTCTCTAGAGACATGAGGAGGACATGTGCGGTAATTCGACGGGTGATTTTTTGGTTTACCGGATTTATGTATGCCGATAAATGTATGCCGATAAAATGACCGCTTCTTTCTACATCGCGATAAAGACACAGTTCGTCATAGCGGCATTGAAAATAGACACCAACATCACGATGAGTTCAGGGGGTAGAAGTTTAATAGCGCCGTAAGATATACCGTCAGAACCGGGAGCCTTGAGAGGACATAGGTCTTTGATTAGATCCTTAACTTCCTTCGGGATGCTACCAGTGTATGGGCTGATGAGGATAACAGAGAGGCTTATGTCCACTGCTCGACATAAGTCTCTTCCAATTTATGCCATTGAGCCTTGTCTTAGGATCTCATCATCCATTTCTTGCCGGCTATTATTCGCAAGCACAGATAACCCCCAATTCGGGGTTATCTGCGTTCGCAAGTCATCGCACCACCTAGTCGAGAGGCATTTTTATTACGTTTGCCAATGCACAGTGCCTACTCAAGAATCCGTCTGCTACAAAGGTCATCGGTTCTACACCATATATGTTCAGCCCAATGCCACTTCATAATGAAGTCGTCGTGGCCTAAAGGATAAGACGTCCGGTGTATTCGTGTCTAGCGATGCACCGGTGTTCGCATCCCGCAGACGAGTACCAATATTTCTAATAAAAAACGTACTTATCAAATTTTCACGATTGACTTCCACTGTGAAGGAATAACATCGTGTAATAAAAATCAAACCCGCAAAATTAGAATTTGCGTAATTACTGGTAGTAGGACCACTTGTGAGTCCGCGCGGATAGGTACCACCGCCCTGCCTATTTCTGCCGTAAAGCAGTAATGCGTTTCGGTTTGAAGGGTGGGGCAGCCGTTGTAACTATACTGAGACCTTAGAACTTGTATCTCAAGGTGGGTGGCGCGTCTACGTTGTAGATATCTATCTTCGATCAATAATAGTACTAGATAAAGGATCAGGAACAAAAATAAGACGCTCGAGTGGCCACGTTTGCAGACATGAAAACATCTTCATTTCTTAGAAAAAAGTTTAATAATGTTAACGACTTCAGCTAATTATAAACCTTAATGCTTAAACATAAAGTTTAATTACCATTGCAAAATATATTTATTTAGGTCCTTTCGTCAGGGAAAGAATATTATGGAATAAATTTAAAATGTCACTTGAACATAAAAAGTCATCAGTACAAAAATATTTGTTCTAAAATGATACATAAAGACTAATTTATAAGGTTTAAAATATTTGTTTAAAATTTCGTACTTATTGTATTGTGGAACTAGATGTAGTTCTTGGTATTACATTTCAATGCTCAGAACACAGTAAGTATTGAAAGACATAGAGTTGCAGAATATACATATTTGTTTTAGGTTTGTTTTGTATGGTCGCAACTATTTTTGACCGATTCAAAAAAGTAGAAGATAATATTTTACATGGCCGCTATTACAACAAATAGGTAATAAATAATAAAATTGAAGTAAAAAAATTATGAAAGGAAACAAGAAACATGTTTTCCACGTATTCTTTATACAGAAGTAATTAAAACAATAATGTAGGTTTAATTACCTCTTTTTTACAAATATACTATACAAAATTTATGTATTAAACTAACACACTGTAAAATTTATAATCTAATTATTTACAAATATAATGTAATCTTATATCAAAGATTTTTTCTATAATCAGTTTAATTTATGCTTATTTTATGGCTGTGTTCGTTTCCCCTGGAAAACAAATCCTTTTCTGCATATACGCTTAAAATATTTATACATACAAATAAAGTTTTTATAATACTTTTTTGCATTGATTTACCACCACCATTGAACAATTCTAGAATTTTTATAAGGGTTCTATATTTCTTATCCTCTTTCTTTCGCGACAATATATATCCATTGTGCACAGCGAAAACGGGCTACTAGGAAATCTACAAACAAAAATAACATTATAAAATAACAAAACTACTCTATTATTTCCCTGTTCAAGAATAGGTGATGTTTGTTACAATAGTTGGTGCCTTGTTGCAAACATTGGCCAAACAATGACAATATTCGTAAATTGAATTTTATTTACTATATAATTCTTTTTATTATTTTATGAAATTCGTTTTATAATATAAACTTACCAAAAAAAGATATTCCTTCCAAAACCTTGGTGTTACGGTAGTTTTTTACTCAGTTTTTGAACGCGCAGTGCAGCGTTTTGACGTCTTAATGTTGGCTATGATTGGACCATACTAATTTGAAATAAGTTTTTGAAGCGCTAATCGCGAATCTAGTAGTATTATTGATCGAAGATATCTATGGTATATATCTCCAGTAACCTTAACATCAGGTGGACTGTGAGCTCGTCCACACATCTAGGCAATAAAAAAAAATAAAAAAGAGATCATACCGAGAGGTGAAAGGCTATTTGGTTTAAGCAAAATTTTGTTTAATACGCGATATAATTTCACTTAATAATAAGAGAATATTAATTTTAAAACGACATTCATTGCATCTCATCCATACTAATTAGAATATTTTCATTCCTTTCAAATCCAAAATTTTTTGGTTGGCTTTTGCTAGCTATATCATGTACTATTTCAAATTAAATTGTTAACAAACTAGCGACCCGCCCTCGCTTTGCTTTGGAAACTGTAATTTATTATTGATTTCTCCACTTTTTAATGGATGTTATCATGCATATAAACCTTCCTCTTTAATCACACTATCTATTAAAAAAAACGCACGAAAATCCGTTGCGTAGTTTTAAATATTTAAGCATAGATACATAGGGATATAGGGACAGAGAAAGCGACTTTGTTTTATACTATGTAGTGATGACAAGCGTTTGGTTATTCGTATCCTACAGCCAGAGGCTCATCACGGTGTCCGCTATATTAATTATATTATAACTTTGTATTAGCATTTTTGAGCAATGATTTTCAATAATTACGTTTATTAAAATAAAAAAGGTATTTAAAGATTTTTTGATTTTAACATAATTTATTTAAAACGATGCGTATTGGTTAGAACGGTAGTATAACCGCTATCGGCTCCAGTAACCACTTTGCATTCTTATGCTGTAAGCCGGTTCAGACATCAATCCAACAAAAAAAAGTAAAACTGCGTTTAAATCTATAACAACTTATAATATCCTAATAAACTTACTCGTACAAATATACAACAAGAGAAGCTAAGTCTGGTGACCCCGTAGAGATGATAGATTAACACTAATTACATTTGGGCATAATAAAATATCTAATCTATACTAATATATAAATCTACAGTGGTTTTTACGGATGTTCCGTTATAACTACTGAACCATGCATCCGATTGACTTGAAACTTGGTGTCCATGTAGAAAATACATGTACTTAATGGATAGGCTAATTTTTATATGAGTGTTGGAGAATCTTTATGGGGGTGAGAAATAATAATGTTAATTTTAAATGGGCAGCGAAGCAGACGGGTACGTCTAGTATAGCAAGAACAAGGAGAAGTCTAAGATAGGACATAACTAGTTTCGCGGATCGGTACATTTCCGACTTCTGCCGCCAAATTATACAAATTGCGAATTGTCAACTACCGTTGGCATAGCAACATATATTTTTTAAAAAGAAAGGCACTCGGTCTCTTACGAATACTTAATTTCATTTTTATTAGTATGTTTTCATTTTAAATTCATCTTACAAAGAGGACAAAAAAGCAGTTATATTTTAGGAAATCTTTTTTTTTTTGTGCGTTAGAAACCACAAAGCTATGTATTTTCAATACTTATGTATAAATGATTCATCGAATANGGCATAGCAACATATATTTTTTAAAAAGAAAGGCACTCGGTCTCTTACGAATACTTAATTTCATTTTTATTAGTATGTTTTCATTTTAAATTCATCTTACAAAGAGGACAAAAAAGCAGTTATATTTTAGGAAATCTTTTTTTTTTTGTGCGTTAGAAACCACAAAGCTATGTATTTTCAATACTTATGTATAAATGATTCATCGAATAACAATTTAACCAAATATTATCTAATACGAACGATATTTATTTTGTCACTTACATTAACTTTGATATTCTTGTGAATTCCATACTTGGGGTCGGATAGAGGCGCGGGCGGGACAAGCCTCAACTTCTGCTCCCATGGATTTCGGAACGGGTTCCTTACATAATTCCAAAGAAAGATCACTAAAGTTAGAAAGCCGTAAAACAGCGTTAACGCGTTCGTTACGACAAACCGATAAATATATTGCTTCATATTCAGTGTCTATTCAAACATAACACGTCCGCGAGTGCCGGCTTCTTAATGATGACTGGCGGTTGGACGGAATTGTGATAGCGTACTGGTATCCGAGGACTGCTTATAGCTATGACTTATGATAGTAGAAGAAAACGATTTATAACCTAAAGACCATCCGTCATTATTAAAATAACACGTTACAGCAATTTCGTTTATTATAATACAATTACATTAAACAAAAAAGATATTTATCCTTTGTTTACACCTTCTGAAACCGTACTTTTTTATTAGATTTCAAAATTTCTTTTTTGTTAGTATTTTTCAATGCAGTCAAGTTTTTTGTTTCGTTTAAAATCACTTAAAGACAAGGTCATCCAGAAGCATCGTTTTTATTTATTTTTAAAGCCATTATTATCTTGTTGCTTCAAAACAGAACGCATAATAGCTTCGTGGCAGAAAATGGCAGAATGGTAGTAGTACCTATCCTGTAACTATCCAAATTTTAATTATTCCTTGTTTGTTGCCTATTAAAGACGTAAATCCTTCATCGTGGAAATATATCGCATAAATATAATAGTATATCGTGGAGTATCGTGGAAACATAGCACGTGCCACTTACTTCCATAAAAAAATTGTTAGCCGTCTGCGGGATTTGAACAACACTATAGTTGTATAGACTGATACGAGTAAATACATAACCAGTTTGGCCATAAATACTGTTACATATAAACTGGACTTTTTAGCGGGACGACGAGGAGTGAAGTTGCGTGATTTGTTTTATTTTGTCTATTTAGTGTTTCTTCAGATTTAAATGTGTAATAACGATGGTTTATTGACTGTTTAATATCTGTGAAAGTGCACAAATGTGGGAAAATAAAACAAAGCCGCTGGACGTAACTTCTCGGGATCCTCCGAAAAGTCCACTGAAAAAATCTCAGTAAATGACCACCATTTTACTGAGATTATATTTCATCCCATATCATCTCATCTCATCTCATTTCATTTAATTTTATCCCAGTTGATTAATGTCTCAAATTAATCATCTTCATTTCATTTTATTTCACTCCATATTATCATTTTTCATAAAAATAAGAATATATAATAAAATAAAACATTACTTAAAGGTCTTAGATACCAGGTCATAAAATCCCTTAAAAAACATATAAACATATCTTTTTTTTTTACTTTTGAATTTGGAACACGTATATTATTTTAAAAACTTCTTTCGATTTTGCGCCATTTCACATTTTTTCGTGTTCATATGAAATTACAATATGGAATGGGATGTTAAAGAAAATAGGATTGCAGTGATCGCCTTGCACAAAGTGGGTATGGAGTCGTCAGTCATATTCCAGACACTTCAAAAGCTTGGTATCAGCCGTTTGTTCGTATATCGTACTATCAACAGATACAACAACACTTCATCTGTCGAAGACCAGAAAAGATGGGCCCGTGGTGTTAGAACTTTAAAGGCTGTTAATGCTGTTAAAGCCAGAATTCGTCGAAAGCCCATTAGCATGCAAAAAAATTTATCGCGAGAAATGAAGATTTCCGCTAGGACTCTGTCGCGTATTATAAAACAAGACTTGAAGCTCGGTGCACATCGTCGATATACGGGACATGCCCTAAATCAATCTTTACAATTAAAGAGATTGGATCGATCAAAACGCCTTCTGTCGCGATACGCGGGTGAAAGGCACAAAAATAACCTCTTTACCGATGAAACAATTTTGACGATTGAAGAACACTATAATGATAAAGTGTACAAAATGTTAAAGTGTACGCTCACAGTTCTAAAGAAGCTGCTCAACTGGACGGAAAGGTGCAACGTGGTCATCATCCTGCGTCAGTGATGGTTTGGTGGGGCGTGTCTTATCAAGGAGTCACAAAACTAAATTTTTTTGTTAGATTACAAATTATGGTCAGTTTTAAAGGACATGGCCTGCTCTAAACAAGCCAACATTGAGTCTCTGAAAAAATCTTTGGAGCCGGCAGTGGCGAAATTTCCCTTGGAAACATAATAGCACGTAAAATGAAAATGCGTAAATCCATAGATTCGTGGCCAAACAGATTAAAGGCCTGTATAAAAGCCAAAGGTGGCCTTTTCGAATAGAATATTTATGTACGTACATCGGGCATTAGGACATAAATCTCATTTACGACAACTTAGATTTAGAGTAATATCGTAATATATTTATTTAAAAAAAAAACCGCTTGTTTTTGGACTATCAGATTTTTATCGTTTTTATTTGCATTCTTAACTTTGTTCGCGAGGAATTATATTATTTCCAATTTTTTAATATCTACTCCACAGTTTTCGTGATTCACGGACGACTATAGTATTTTATTCATTGACATTTCAATTTGCTAACGAGCTAAATACACAAAACAATTTATCTCATAGGATAAATAAATGAACAACCCACTTATGTGCATTAAATTTGGAAAGAAAACCTCTATAAACCAGTAAAAGTTAAACATGCCACGGCGCTTGCCAGGATTTCTGATGTCTCGAAATGCAACCGTATCCTGTGTGCCGAATATCTTTTGCAATGATGCTGACTGAAAAATATCAAATCGATTCGAACCCATTAATAAAGTTTTTTTTCTTTGCATCAACATGCCAAATGCTGTTAGGAGAAAAACGATTGTCTATAGATTTTTTTCCGAATGGAAATATTCAGTGTGGCTACTATTTAATCAGTATGCGATCACGAATTGGACTTTGATACCTAGATTATAAAAAAAATATTTATTATTATTAATAATAAGTGAGGTTAATTACTAGTTTATAATTGTCCATTGTATTGCATTTTGTTATATGGTTACATTTTCCAAATGCTCCGAATGAAATCAAAATAAATAAACTAGCAGCACAGGCAACTGCCTACGTTTGTTATGCCCCAGATATTGTTGATGTCCATGAGCGACGGTGACTAGTTGCAATCAGATGGGCTGTACGCTCGTCTGCGTATAATGACAATAAAATGACAACAAAATAACAACCACTAGTACCTATATAAAACGCTCGACATTCCGAACTTTTTCTCAGAAAGGATTATATAATATATTTATCGGTCTTTACCTAATTTATTTCAAAATATTGTAATTCGTATATATATATAGGTAAAAGCAAATTTACATTGAAAATAAATAAATAAAAACTTCCCGGGCATTACCAAATTTTATTTATAAATAACAAACTTTATCATTGTATAATCTTGTAAAACATAACAAACAATACTTTTCGTGTTGAGTACACAAGTTTTACCGTACCGCTAATTTTCTCTTGAGCGGCACGACTTCGAGAAAGTTATTCGAATTCCGACTCATAGTGGTTACGACTCGTCATATTTCTGGGAGAAAATTCTTCAAACGAGAGAACATTATTTGGTTCGGGCTCTCTTTCCGCCCGCCATAATTCGCATTCTTCCAAAAGGGACATGGTACAGCTTGCAAACGAAGCTGCTGCATTCGGTAAATTAAAATCTGTAGCATTATTAAGTTCTCTCCCGTTTTGATCATTGTCTAGTCTTTGAATTGTTTCTCTTTCAATTTGTTCTAGACGCTCTATAGCTTTCAGAGGATCTACGTCTCTCGGCCTCTCGTTGAAATCAATATCTATTTCGATTCTGGGAATAAAACGTCACAATTTTAATCTATGGTTTATTAATTGTATTCATTGATGTTTTACCAAAAAAAGGAAGTTTTCTAACATAAGCTAACGTTTCCTACGCAAAAACTAAAAGCGAATAAACATAAATCTAAATGTAAAGATACATTTGCACATGACACAAAGAGAAAAATAAATAGCCTTTTTATATCATATCTATTGTTAATAACAGTAATAAATTTCATGTTAACGCTAATTGGATTTTATAGAATGGTATTCAATAAGGTCTTGCTACGTCAATGCATTTTACGCAACCATATCCGTTCAATTTCTTGTATTTTATAAATAAATATGATTTCATTATTTGCTTTATTTATGCTTATGATCAAATCGAAAGTCCATACTAGTAACATAGCTAGGTAGTTTGCAGAAAATATCTGCATGACCCCATCATATACATAGATTGTGCATATGCTTTTACGAAATACTAATAAATTAAGAAAATCTAATTAAATTCCTACCCATAATAACATCAATACCTACACAAAATTTTGAATTTATAAAGATGGAAATAATAATAAGTCCTTGATGGGTGTTTAAAGGCCGCTGCATACGTGACGGGTTTTTATACAGACGGGACAGGAAGGGAAGTTTTGCAAACATCGGTTTGGAGGGTGGGGCAGCCGTTGTAACTATACGTGAGACCTTAGAACTTCTATCTCAAGGTGGGTGGCGCATTTACGTTGTGGATGTCTATGGGCTCCAGTAACCACTTAACACCAGGTGGGCTGTGAGCTCGTCCACCCATCTAAGCAATAAAAAAAANGACGGGTTTTTATACAGACGGGACAGGAAGGGAAGTTTTGCAAACATCGGTTTGGAGGGTGGGGCAGCCGTTGTAACTATACGTGAGACCTTAGAACTTCTATCTCAAGGTGGGTGGCGCATTTACGTTGTGGATGTCTATGGGCTCCAGTAACCACTTAACACCAGGTGGGCTGTGAGCTCGTCCACCCATCTAAGCAATAAAAAAAAATCATACCAAATGTATATGAAAGAGCATATTTCACGAAGACGCGGACGAGACGCGTACGTGGCCCCGCAAGTGCCCCGTCCCGTCCGTGTTCCCGCTACGCACTCCGGCTCCGTTCGTTCCGGAGAGAGAACTATATAGTGACGTCTTGATGATGATGTTTTCCAGTAAAGCAAAACATTCTTTTGTCATTCGAAAATACTGACTAAATTGAGTCTCATCATCCTGAATTTTTTTGTAGGTAGTGTGGTATCTCTCTCTTGTTCTCTATTCTGCTATGTAAGATGTACAGAAAATCTCCTTATCTTGTTCACGGTCGTAGCTACTTCATCATTTAGAGCAATAGCAATTAAAGCCAATTCTTGAAATGAAAAATCCATCTTTCGTTGTTGACAACACTAGCACTTTAGATCCGAGTCACTGTCACGGTGCTGCATACCCGATCCTGTAGACCGAATGGTAAACAGTTGACGTCGCCCAAAGCACGTCATTACGGATCCTCCCGATCCATTAACGGTACTTTTAGGCACCACAAGCTCCGGTCACCGTCCTCGTCGAACCCGTCGCTTGCAAAGAAGAGCTCGACGAGCGAATTAACCCATAGACACAGCCAACTGAGTTTCTCGCCGGATCTTCTCAGTGGGTCGCGTTTCCGATCCGGTAGTAGATTCTACGAAGCACTGCTCTTGCTTGGGTCAGTGTTAGCAACACTCTGGTTTGAGCCCCATGAGCTCACCTACACATGTTAGGGTGAAGCTGATATAGCCTCTCAAGGCTATCAGCATAAGTAGGAAAAAAGAAAAAAAAAATCACGGTGCGTATGCCTTTCCAGTTTTGAGCGAAGCTGTCAGGTCCCCGTCCGAGGTAATATCTCGTTACGTATACAGCGACCTTTAGACGGTAATCTCTCGTCGTCGTCGTGCGTGTGTGTGTGTGCACATGCGTATTTGTGAAAGTGTGCTTGTGCGTGTATTTCGCCTCAACTACAAGGTAAGTTGAGATCGCACCCTGTGTGCTCAGTGCGAGTTTTTAAACGTTCTCGATAGCGTATAAGGTAAGTCAAATTAGTATGCAGTTGGAACAACGCCCCTAGTGGCAAATTTAGACAATCGTTCCAACTCCATACAAATTTCAGTTAACTGTTACGCTATTGCGAACGTTAAAGAGCTTTTTTTATAGCTTAGGTGGATGGACGAGCTCACAGCCCACCTGGTGTTAAGTGGTTACTGCAGCCCATAGACATCCACAACGTAAATGCGCCACCCACCTTGAGACAACGCTGAATTAACTGTCGAACATAATTTTAAAAAACCTTTTTGTAAAGCGATATTTTTTTATTGCTTAGATGGATGGACTATCTCACAGCCCACCTGGTGTTAAGTGGTTACTGGAGCCCATAGACATCTACAACGTAAATGCGCCACTCATCTTGAAATATAAGTTCTAAGGTCTCAAGTATAGTTACAATGGCTGCCTCACCCTTCAAACCGAAACACATTACTGCTTCACGGCAGAAGTAGGCAGGGTGGTGGTACCTACCCGTGCGGACTCACAAGAGGTCCTACCACCAGTAAAGCTCGCACTAAGCACACTAATGACTTGAATACTTTCAAGTTGATCTGGCTGCGTGCCTACGTGATTTGGTACTACCGCCATGCTGATTCTGCTGCATAGTTATTATACGTTTCGCTAAATAGCTAATGAGTTTAAAAACATACCCAGTCTGTTCTTTAAATTTCATCCAGTCTTCTAAGCAGGGAGCCCGTGGGATCTCTGCGGCTATAGCTCGACTGGCTTCTTCCATCGTTTCTTCCACTATCTCCTTCTCGATTTCTGTTACATTTCCAGACAATTATTCTCAAAAAACAATACCGTCTTTCTATGTCCAAACAAACTCTCATAATGTAAGATCATCGACTATCCAGCCTCTATAATAAACAGCACTACGTAGGTATTCATTCATACGTGCGAAAATTTATACTTTCTATTGAACTAAGTGAATCAACAGTCGTTTAGTAAATACACAAACATCACGTAATAGTAGGCAAGTACTTCACGTACCGATCGGGGCAGCCTTCTAAATATTTACAAATATTTTCCAATTTTCACAGTATTGAAGGGTGGGGCAGCCGTTGTAACTTACTTCAGACCTTAGAATTTATATCTCAAGGTGGGTGGCGCATTTACGTTGTGGATGTCTGTGGGCTCCAGTAACCACTTAACACCAGGTGGGCTGTGAGCTCGTCCAACAATCTAAGTAATAAAAAAAAAAAAAGTATTTCACAGTAGGTTAAGAACGTAACACGTATAGTATGTAGGTATATAAGGCATTTTCGAAGATTTCAAAATTTATTTTCAGGTTTGTTAAAACTTAGCATAGGTATACTTTACTTAGGCTTCAACAACTGAATTGCTAATTTACATTAAAACCTGTTTCCGAGGTAGCCTTGTAGGTTAATCTACTACTTATATGAAATAAAAAAAACCTCTGTATTGTTAATTTATTCTGTGAGAGAACTAAGAAATAGTCTAATGCTAAAGTTTTTCTAGCACTTTCGGCAGAGTATCCGAAGATATTGTTTTTAGGTATATATATCCAGTTGTATAAGATGCTAAAATATTAACTCTTTTAATACTCTGAATTAAAAAACATGATATTTAGAAATAAAACTCTATTAAGATGTCCACACGGGACAAAATTCTATGACGATATTATTTAACAACCTAAACAATGTTCACAATTATTTAAATACAATTGAAACAACACATAAAAAGCCAAACGTTGTAACTTAATTTTTAGTTTTTTTATTGCTTAGATGGGTGGACGAGCTCACAGCCCACCTGATGTTAAGTGGTTACTGGAGCCCATAGACATCTACAACGTAAATGCGCCACCCACCTTGAAATATAAAGTTCTAAGGTCTCAGTATAGTTACAACGGCTGCCCCACCCTTCAAACCGAAGCTTCACGGCAGAAATAGTCGGGGTGGTGGTACCTACCCGTGCGGACTCGCAAGAGATCCTACCACCAGTATACACAGTATTATTCTACCACCAGTACAATTTTTAATTATTCTAAATAGCAATACGATGAATCTGATTTTTCCACGTATAACTAATCACTTCAAACCAAACGATATAATGACATTAAAACGTTAGTTACAGTCATGGAAATTTTGCAGTTTTTTTTCTCCAGTACATAGCTTATACGTATTTTCCTTATTATATCATATTGAATATCATACCTGACTATATGGTTCTTCAACTGCTTGTCTACTTTCTAACTCAGATCAGCACAATATGTGGATACTCATATGATATATTCTCGATTTGGTTAGTAGTTTTAATGAATTATATTAGGTGTTACGTGCTATGAAGTGGTTGCCAGACACATGATGAATCTTGTATAATAAAACCTTTTCAAATCATCACTGATTACTGATGCAAAGGAATATTGTGAGCCTGTGTAGGTCGATACCACCCTCCTCACTATTTGCGCCCTAAACATTCACGCATTCCGATTTGAAAAACAGAACATACATTTGTATATACAACACCAACTTTGAAAGCATGTCCTTCAAATTGTGATGTCTATATGTTCCAATTAGCCATTCGCGAAAACCGCGTATCCTACTGTTCAATTAAAAGCTAGCCTATTACCATGTATGATAATCTGATTATAAAATATGTATTTTTTCGTATTGCCTTAGTAGGCAGACGAGCGTATGGCCCACCTGATGGTGAGTGGTTACCGTCGCTCATGGACTTCAGCAATACCAGGGACAGAGCCAAGCCGCTGTCTACCGTTAAGCTATATACCATATGATGTACGACAAACTCAGTACTCAAAAAGGTAATTGCATTCCGTACTTACCAAATGATTTGGAGGAATTCGCACTTAAACGCCGCAAAGATCTCGCCAAATTTCCGCAAACCGCACCGTGAGATGTCAATTTACTGCCACTGCATCTCCACTCTTTATCTGATCACGTAGGTACATACATAACTTAACTAAGGTTTCATTTTGTTCGCTAACAGATCATAATGTGCAAAAACATGTACAATAATTAAAATTCAAATAAATTTCTCATCTATACCAATGCAGTAATAGAATAACAAGGACTTCTTATTTATTGGCATTAGGCATTGCTTATGGATGTGACACGACAACGCTGAATTAAATGTCGAACATAATTTTAAAAAACGATTTGAAATATATTTTTTATTTGTATAGTGATTTTTTTTATTGCTTAGATAGGTGGACTAGCTCACAGCCCACCTGGTGTTAAGTGGTTACTGGAGCCCATAGATATCTACAACGTAAATGCGCCACCCACCTTGAGATATAAGTTCTAAGGTCTCAGTATAGTTACAACGGCTGGCCCATTCTTCAAGCCGAAACGCATTACTGCTTCACGACAGAAATAGGCGGGGTGGTGGTACCTACTCGTGCGTTTGTATGCAGCAGTATACGGCTCACGTGATTGTAAATAGTCACCGTCGCGCATGGTCGTCAGCAATGCCAGGGGTCATACAAGCTGCCGTCTAGTTCTAACTAGTCAAACCTGGCCCGATTTGCTGACCCATCTTTGATTCAACTGTGATATGTTGCTATCAAACTCACAGTACAAAACACAGAAGACTTCCGGAAAGATTCATCAAAATTGGTCCAGCCGCTAGAGAGGCCTATAGGGAGCATATGCATCGACAACACACATCTACTTTTCTATGTATAGATTCATTTCAATGACAGACCATTGATCTAGTTACCTATTCATTTACATTGAGCATTATTGAGACAGTGCAATATTTATTACTGGTGTGAAGCAATTATGTGTTCGCAGTTAAAATATAGGACAATCGTTGTGATTTTAACCCCAATATCTCAAGCGAGGCATCGCCATTCAGGTTTTGCGATCTGGGCCTTCGGTAGCCGCTTAACCTGTACACAGTTATAAATGAATCGTAAAGTATAGACTAGTAAAATGTTAAGTATAATACCCATGAGAGTGTTGAGTATCTCTAGTTTGGTTGGTGCATCCAAACTTGGTCGATCAGTCGCTGTTTTTGGTCGATTCTCGAGGATTGTCCGAGATCTTGCACCGGCTCCTTCAGTGGTAGCTGGTCTTCGACGCAGCAAATGATTAGGTACTGCGTCCGATTCTACCGAACTGGACGCTTTCTCAGGACTAGATTCTGGTTGAAGCTGCAAGTTATATGAAAATTACAAAAAAGCCGGTTTTTTTAAATTGCACAGCGATTTCTGATGGTTTATGCATTAAATTTTAAGTAATTTTTTTAAGAACCTACTTAGTATAATATAATTATTACAATAAAAGTTGCTTTAATTAAATAAAGAATTTATAACTATTTATTTTTATTGTGCTATATTTAAAAAGTTGATACGTTATTAGAATTTTTCGGTGCAGTGTCTGATGTCCGATTTGGCAGGTGTGACGTTTCCAATAAATCATTTCCACCACTCGCGTCACTCTCTTCTGAGTCAGATGATGATGACGCTGGTCCAAATATTCCTTCTGAATCGTCTGTAATGCCAGATGAGTTGACGTAAACGTGACGTGAAATATGCATTTTATTGGACAAGTACCTACCTAATATTATAGGCTAACTTTTGGAAGGACATATGGTCGGCTTGCTGATTAGTGGTCGTCGTCGTTGCTCATAAACGTCAGCAATACCAGGACCATAGCAAAACTATGAAGACTCTCTTCATACTACGTGTAAATAAGGACGTATCATAGCATTTGGTTTCAGAGCCGGATAAAGACAAAGTCCGTCTCAATTCTATTGTTGCTCCACTCGTCAAACTCCGGAGCATGACTGCTTTGCGGCAGAAATAGGTGGGATGATGGTATCTACCCGTGCAGGCTAATGTTGACACCAGCAATTAAAAATAAAAAATTTAGATTTAACTTAAATTATGCTATTCCTTCATCGTGAAAGGAGTTTGTGAATTCGCATTAAGTACTTATTTCTTAACATTTATAGCGGCCAGAATTTGAATACCGGCATAGTCACATCAGTTGATACAACGGAAAATGAAGAAGACACTTAGGAACGCCAGGCCAGAATTGGGAGAAGCACACCACGTAAGTGCGAACGAACACTTTGTACCGCACAAATAGCTTAAGTCCAGACATTAAGCACCGCTTGGTCCTGTTGAGGACTCCCAACATTTTGAATAACAACTTCACTGCTCCTTTCAAATGACTACGACACTGAACGCCGATTGTAACATAGAACCCAGAAATACAATATTCTTACAAATAAAATTTAAATACAAATAGAAATTTCGGACATTTGCAGGATTAGTGCTTGAATTTGCGGCCAACCGTTTTGTAAACCAGATTTCAATAAAAATTCCTACCACTATATCGTTCAATAAGTTCAACTAGCTCATAATTCCTAATGAAATCAGTAGGTATATTTATAATTCATTTAACATGAACCAGAATGCGATTAAAAAGATTTATTGTAAAAGTAATACGCACATTCGATATCTCTATGTAAAGGCCTTTCATCCAGATAAACTAGCATCGGCAACACCGCGGCTACTCTGGGACGATATTGTGGACATTCAGATACTGGAGTTCCCTGTAGGGTTAATCGTCGAAGTGACCCACAGACACCCAAAGTCCATAGACGGGTAGAATCCACTATTGGATTACTGAAAAATTATAACAGAAAATCGTAGCAGATTTTATTCCGAATTTTTTTCATTAGTGAAATCGTCTGAAATACCTTCTACAATTCTATCAGTTAGCTTTCAATCCGAATAACTTGTATTATTAAGATTTTTCTTTCAATATTTCAATTTCTCGACACAATTCAGGATATGTTTACGAATGTTTCGACGTATGTATCTCAAATTGGTTAGGAATGTTAAGATCTCATTCGAACTTTTTCGACTCACTAAGTAAAACACATACTCAGCCATATTTAAAGTGTGAAGTTTCTGTAATGCACCCAACGGTTGTAAATCGTGTAGACGATTCCCGGCCGCATTTAGTTCACGAAGAGCTCCCAAGCCCCATACTCCGTCTAAGCTAGTCAAACCACAACGGTTTACGCTTAGTACCTAACAATGAAATAATTTAGTTATGTATAATTTCTATAAATAATAAAAATTACTTGTACGGCTTAATCTCGCGTTTTTTATTCTCATATTTCCGGCGTTACGAATACTTTAACAGTTTTCGTGGTCACGGATGACTATTCGTCGACTTTTGAATTAAATGCCGGACTAGCGTTTTTTTTTATGATTTTTTTATAACTTTTTTTGTTTTCTTTATTATTATTTAGATAGTATTTGCAGTGTTGGAAATCATACGATAACAATAAAATCGTCCGATTTAACCATAAAAGTAGTTTTAACTATATCTACGACTCGCCATAACCGAAGAATATAAAATACTATCTATTTTGAGCTCGTCCACCCATCTAAGCAATAAAAAATAAAAAATAAAAATTATAGGGCAGTTATGGACTTACTGCTGATCGTATTCTAAATTGTATTAACGTATTGATAAGAATGTTACATTTCAAAACATTTTGAAATAATTATGATACATCAACCTTAAGATGAACCAGGCCGATCCCAAGATCTCTTAAAGAGGAAAGTGCACTGCCGTCCAAAATTAACGAACGCAACCTGGGCGCTAGGACATGCAGTCGTCTCAGGCCAACTCTTTCGGCTATGACGCGAAGCTTCGCCTCCCTAATCCTGAGAACTTCTTCATCTGAACTCACACCACTGGATTGTTTCTGTTAATTAAAAACAAATTAATAAAAACAAATGTATTTGTTTTCTTCATCCTAAATATAAATTTCTCGTGTCACAATGTTATTTACCATACTCCTCTGAAACGGTTTGACCGATTTTTACGAAATTTTATAGGCATGTTCGGTAGGTCTGAGAATCGGCTACTATCTATTTTTCATGATAAGGGTTGTCCACCCATATTTTTTTTACAATTTTTTTTTGTTATTTTGAGGCATTTTGTGGTTGAATGAGGTTTTGTTATTTTTATATTTCCTCATCGTTCACAGCGCTAGATGCCTCTTTCACTCATTTATCACATCCTTACACACTTACAATAAGTTAGTTTTTTTTTCTACACTAGAAATTCCCTAGAAATCCTATGTACATGGCAAAACAAGTTTGCCGGGTCAGCTATATAGTCTTTTATAAAAATATTGATTCATGGAATTTAAAACATCAACTTACTAAGAGTTCTATCAACGTTAGTTCTCGGGGTATGACGATACGTCGGTAACCAGGTAAACGTCGCTCCAGGTCTTCCTGACCTGGAGGCTGTTCAGGTTCCGGTAGGGGCATAGCAAGTGCCCTATGAAATACAACCAATACATATTATAATGGATAATAACAATTGGATAATACCAACACATATTATATGGAAACCAATACATATTACTGGTGGTAGGATCTCTTGTGAGTCCGCAAGGGTAGGTACCACCACCCTGCCTATTTCTGCCGTGAAGCAGTAATGCGTTTCGGTTTGAAGGGTGGGGCAGCCTTTGTAACTATACTGTGACCTTAGAACTTATATCTCAAGGTGGGTGACGCATTTACTTTGTAGATGTCTATGGGCTCCAGTAACCACTTAATACCAGGTGGGTTGTGAGCTCGTCCACCCATCTAAGCAATAAAAAAAAAATAAAAAAAATAATGATTACAAATCTGGCCATTATTGACATTAGCAAAATAATATTTGCTAAAGTGACCACCGGAGATTTTTTATAATCTCCGGTGGTCACTTGACTAGTAGAACCGTACGCTTTTCTGCCCATTTAAGCCAAAATAAACTGTAAAAATCTTATCTTTTTACTTATGATGTATGCTTGCTTGTATGCGTTTAAATCTGTTTGTAGATTTTATTCCGTTGGTGTAACCGGTTGGTGTTTGTTGTAGCTGACCCCAGATAACCAATTTAATGTCCTAGGTATATATAACCTATAACCCATGAGCGTATTGATTCGTTCACAAAAAAAAAATTAACTCTGCGATTTTGGAAGTTTTGTTTTGTAGTGTGTAAAATAAAGTGAAACTTTTATAAAGAGAGAACTGCTATTTTACTACATACGCCTATTCATTATATTTGAGTCGACTATTATCAAAGCCGGCAATGTGACTTTTGGACAATTATTGGTAAATCAGAAAAACGAATTATTGACTTTGTATTCCATTGGCAGTCACAAAACTCTTCTAAACGACATCTTAGACCTTTATTTAATGCAGGTTTTGAACCGTATTCTTTGAAGGAGACGATTTTATTCAAATCAATCTGTATTGACATATCAATAACATTTTTTTGTCCAAATGCACAGATTGCCACCTTTGATAATAGACGACTCATTTATTCAAAACGCGGGTACAGTTGGCCTGTGCCACTACAACCTTGTTTACAGAAATCATGCAACCTGTAAACTATTCTAAGTTTTTTCTTTTACGTTTTGCGATGATACTTGTTTTCAACTTTTTCACGAAATCAGTTGATTGCTGCGTAACATGTTGCATTATTTTTTATTTTATTTTTAAATATAATTTTTATATTTTTTTAATTCTTTCACGAATAATAAAGATCCTTTCATACAAGATTAAAAACAAACTTTAAAAATATTGTACCTAAATAAAGAGGTGGTCCGAACATTCGGAGGCTCTGGCGAACTTGCACTGGATATTTCTGATGAAGACGGCGACGGTACGACACTAGGAGTTTGTGGCGCACTTCCGAGCTCTAGACGTGGCGCTTCACACAGAGGCATTTTAATACATGCACCTATTAAACATTAAATAGTATTGAATTGATAATTTTTAATACTACAGCAGCGGTCGAGGTACGGGGGTAAATTACCCCAAAAAGGGTAAAATAAAATTTTGGGGGGTGAAAATGAAACTTGTGCATAAAAAAAGTATATATTGAAGTGAAACTTCTTTAGAATCGTTGTGATTTCAAATTATCATGGGGGCTATAATATGAAAGATGCTAAAAAGAAGCGATTTCGTTTCTTTTTGTTCTTCGCCATCTAGGCGAGGGGTAATATCAACTTACACAAAAATATTTTGGGGTAATAATTAATAAAGTTCCCCGACCGCTGTACTACAGCAAAGATCCCCTAACATTTCAGGAAGTTTTTCAATATTCGAAAATAAATACCTTAAAATTATAGAATTCATAGCGGCGGAACTATAACATATATTAAGTACGTTACAGTCACTGCGACCCATATGAATCTAATAAAACCATAGTAAGTAGTTAAAATGCATACTTACAGTAATTATTAAGACTTACTAAATATTTTTATTGAATATAATCCAAATTATGTATGCATGCTCTTTTTCTATAATACATAACTTTTAAATCAATAAAGCAATTATTAACTAAAATAATATTTAAAAATCATATCATTAATATTTCATATATTTTATTTTGGCTTTATATTTAGTTTAAAGAGAAATTTAATATAATCAACACATTTATTTAGAGATCGGTTGCTAAGAGATCGTCAGACCACAACTACGTCGGTACTACTACCATATCGGTGTTCACAAAAGAGAATATAAGCACATTAGGCACTACTGTACTTAATGTGCTTTATTTGTATCACTTTCAGATCCCGAGTAATTATTTTCTGTTTGAAATACGCACATTACAAAGTATCACGTGACTGCTTGCGATCGTTTTGAAATTGATAGATCGATTGATTCTCACCAATTACTCAAAACAAAAAAACAAAAAATTAACATTAAAAACAATTCACACACCATTTTCCTCCAAAAAAGTTCACTTCGATTTATATAAAAAAATAAGACTGGAGTGTATGATGCGATGTCTTCGTCTTTTCTGATTTGGAAAAATGAAACAAGAAACAACCGACTATTTGGCGCGAGTTTTTGGCGGGAATGCGAGGTGTCAAGTTGTGCGATTTGTTTTATTTTATCTATTTACTGTTTCTTCAGTTTTAAATGTGTAATAACGGTGGTTTATTAATTATTTAGTATCTGTGAAAATGCACAAATTTGGGAAAATGAAACAAAGCCGTTAGACGTAACTTCTCGGGATCCTCCAAAAAATTCACTGAAAAAATATCAGTAAACGATCACCATTTTACTGAGATTATATTTCATCCCATATCATCTCATTTCATTTAATTTCATCCCAGTTGATTAATGTCTTAAATTCTTCATTTCATTCACTCCATATTATCATTTTTCATAAAAATATCCCATATCGTATCATCTTATCTCATTTCATTCATTTCATTTCATGCCATGCCATGCCATGTTTTGATATTAAATTAATCAGCTTCATTTCATTTCATAATATCATATTTCATAAAAAAATATATATAAAAGATTAGGCTGTATGGTGTGATACCTTTGCCTTTCCATTTAGAAAAATAAAACTACTACTATTTTCGCGCGCTTTTATTTCCAGTCAAACTAAATTGTTTCATTGTGTGATTGTGGTTATGAATTCGTCAAATTTATTTGTTCAATTTAATTATTTTTCTTTATGTGGTGTTCAATAAAGTAAAAAATACAAATTTAATTAATTCACTTACCATAGAAATCGAAAGCCGTAATTTAGAAAACTTGAACGTAAGAAATACATAATGACACACAATAACGATGTCGAAAAAAAGTCTCATGATGAATATCAATATTTAAAACTTATCGACCAAATCATAAAATCTGGTAAGTAATTAATGGGCATTAATGTAGGTTCTCATTACTTCCGTATATCAACTAAAAACATTTGTATTTAGGCGATAAAAGAGTTGATAGAACGGGGGTAGGTACCCTTTCGATATTTGGAGCGATGCAGAGGTACTCTCTTCACAATAACACGCTTCCACTTCTCACAACTAAACGAGTATTTACAAGAGGTGTTATAGAAGAACTACTGTGGATGATCTCCGGGTCTACGGATTCAAAAGCATTAGCTGCCAAAGGTGTACACATTTGGGATGCAAATGGATCAAGAAATTTCCTTGACAATTTAGGATTTACTGACAGAGAAGAAGGTACTGAAATTTATATTTTCATAACTGCTTTAAATCATAACATAAATAAATTTGCCAAAAATGTAATTCTAACTTAGTGTCCCAATTAAAAATGAAAGATTTCTATTTTCAGAAATAGTTCCAATACATCCTGTATGGTGTTAGGTACTACCAGTAATTCCCTGGATATCTTAAATTAATGCAGGTTCCCAAGAATAGTTTTAATATCAGCATGTTCAGATTATTATACCAGTATTCTTGAATCGCCAATCCACTTTTACTGGTGTTATTGTAAATTTCTACAGTGAAGCAATTGTTTCTCTAATATTGAAATCAGAATAAATGTTATCAACATAGCTGTGATTTTGACCTCATGTCTTAAAGAGAGTGAGATCAGACAATACCAGGGAAAAAAAATTAATGCTAATTATAATTTGTACATAAAAAAGTAACAAATTTTTAGGAGATCTAGGCCCTGTATATGGATTTCAATGGAGACACAGTGGTGCAAAATATATTGATTGTCAGACTGATTATACTGGACAGGGTATAGACCAACTGCAAAGTGTAATAGATTCTATTAAGTAAGTGATAAATTTGTCTGCTAAAATTATATAATTATATAAATAACAAAATCAAACTTAGGATATTTAAAAACCAGATTAACTAATTAGTAATATTGAAAAAAATCTTTGAACCCATTATTATTGAATTAAATTCAACCTAGAATATAATAACCTAATGCAACAAGGCTATATCTCAATGCTTTCATCATAATTATCAAAACTATTAGCCTTAAAGTAAGAAAAATAATATTAATTGTATTATAGGAACAATCCAGCAGACAGAAGAATGTTGATATGTGCTTGGAATTCTTCAGACCTTAAGAAGATGGCACTACCACCATGTCACTGTTTAGCACAATTCTATGTGGCTGATGGGAAATTATCTTGCTTGTTGTACCAAAGAAGTGCTGACATGGGCTTAGGAGTTCCATTTAATATAGCTAGTTATTCGCTGCTCACACACATGATTGCTCATGTAACTGGTTACCAAGTAAGTGTTCTTATTGATTTTGCTTGTGATTAAATGAAAATTATTCTGCATGTGTTAGTTATGTGTATACTTTGCTACTTTAACCAACTTTAGGTCTTTGAACTGCAACTATCTCATCACAATGTGGACCACAGTTCATCTGATTTTTTATAAACTTAGGCACTCAAAGTGCAATATGGACACTTACGCTATTGCAAACTATGTGCAATAGCTGCATGTGTATGTAAGATCTAAGATTATCTAAGACTCCATATTGTGTATGCGTTTAAACCTATTTTCTTATTGTCTATAATGCCATACATACACACACACATACATACATACTTTAAAATGATAATATCTAATTATTATAATGTATACATGGCCAAGCAACAGTACAGCATTCCACAAAAGCCTGAAATGAATTTGTTTACTGCTGAACCATATTGTATCTTCTGTATTCTTTACCCATGAATAGTATGGTTTCAGTTTTGCATTTTTCTTGAGATATTTGTACCAAACCAACAAATTTCCATTTTTGCAATAACTTATCATGGACATCTAAGCAGTCTGACACTACACATAAGGACTGATCGTGTATACTTACCTACTCTTCAAAATGATCATAGTCAATATAATGATTCTGGGAAGCTCAAGCTACAAATACAAATATTTAAATTTGGTTGTTTTTATAGGCTGGAGAATTTATACACACAACAGGAGATACCCACGTGTATCTAAATCATATTGAACCATTAAAGATACAGCTACAGAGAGAACCGAAACAGTTTCCAACATTAGAATTTGCTAGAAAAATTGAATCCATTGATGATTTCAAATATGAGGACTTCATTATTAAAGATTACAAACCACATCCTAAAATTGAAATGGAAATGGCAGTATAGTATACTTGGTTCCACTATTGAAATTGTGAATGCTATACTACAATGGGTATGATTTTGAATAAATTATATTTGTGTAGTTTTCATTCATAATTAAATGGCCTATGACTTAAAGACTACGTACAGCAGTATTTAACTATATTTAAATTCTTTGTGATCTAAAATATGTAGTTATGTAACAAATGTCATGATACAAAATTTCATATACATATTAGATATTAATTGTGTATTTTTATAAATAAAAAAATGTGTGTATTGCAAAAAATGTATTTGTTGTCTTTATATAATCATTTCATACTATAAAATAAATCGTCCCTTGATTATTAAAATGGCATTACAACCTCACATTAAGTTATCTTAACAAAGTCACTAACTTTTAATTCTACAAATTGTAAAATTTCAACAATATCTAACAAATATGTAATTTTATTAATACAATTTTCTATTCTTAAAATTACTCAACTTTTTGTTTTGTATGAACGGATTTCATTGAGAATACAAATATTTCATTGAAAACAAAAAACATTGCATGTGTAATTCAATAGAATAAAAGGCTACCAAACAAATTTTAAAATTGTAACAAACAATACTTAGCCAATTTAAGTACCTACCTAATTAAGATCCAAAAAATTGTAAATAGAACCTATAAAGCAAATTTGGATAGAAATTATTTGTTATTATTGTTAGATAATGATAATTTTACAATGTTATATTTCCAGTTTCCAGAGTCTTTCAACACATTTGATCGTCTTGTGATTGTGTCTGAAAAAAATAATTAAAAGTTAAATAAAAATAGTCACATTAGTTGTGTTAGTTCGTAATGTCACAATTATATAAAAATTCATTATTTTGTCAATCATGTAATGAAAACAATATCTTAGATATAAACTTTATTACAATTTTTACTGATGATAAGGCGCACTTATAGGACCTCAAGTTTAGGTACCGCCATCTTTCTCATTTCTTCCGCGAAGCAGTCAATTGTTCCTATTTGAAATGTGGGACGTTATTTATTAGAATTAAAGTCTCAACCAATGTGTCAATGTGTAAGTCGAGTTGCCAATAACCTAGTTGTGATGATTGAATTTAGGGCCAAGGACTAATTCACCCATCTGTGCAATAAGTAAAAATTAAAAATGCTCCCCTTACTAACTTTACTTTTATTTAACCATGCTTTTATGTGAGAAATATTAATTCAACATAAAACCCTTTTGAATAAATACTAATGAGATGTCTTATATGTGGGGACAGCAAACATTTGTTGTCTGCCAATCAACTGAGACTCAAGAACGATTGGGTGAATCATGACACAGGACGCCTCACTTTCTAGCTCACATGTGCTCACTGGGCATAGTTGCTTCAGTGAGTTCCTGCACCGGATCGGAGCCGAGCCGACGGCAGAGTGCCACCATTGTGGTTTTGGATGCGGTGGAGCACTCTCGTCGTCTGGAAGGGGTGGCGCCATGACCTTGTCGCAAAAAATAGGAAACGACCCACAAGCCCGCCGCTATCGAGCGGGAGCCAGACAGACGGATCTCGCCCAAGCCCTGGCCCTCTATAAGCGTTTCGTGTCTCCCTTACATGGTGGTCTGGGGACTGGCGAGGGGTGCCTAAAAAACGAAGTGTAAGCTGCTCAGCGCGCGTTTTACGCAAGACCATCCGGGTAACTGAAGGTCGGCTATCTTCGACCCACGCTGGCTCTAAACCAACGGGGGTATTCCGTGGAATAAACCGTTCTAACCGGCGCCATCTAGGCGGGCTTCGGATAGCTTGCCGAACGAGAGGGCTGGTGGTCGTGGCGCCGACGACCGCAGGTCCGGCGTCCCGAGGGGGAGAGTAAGGATCCTGCGCACTAGGCAGCCTGGCTGCGGCGGCCGGAATATTTGAGCAGCCAGGCTGCAGCGGCCAGAATATTTGAGCAGCCAATCGACGGCCATTTGTGATCTTTTCGTCGAGCGATTTGGACTTTATCTCTTAAAAACACCAATCAAAGAAAAGACTGGATTCATCCTCTTTTTCTAGAACAGCATTCAAAAGGTTTATTCTGTAACTATTTTAAAGATGTTCATACATACCCAGATCGGTTTTTTTTAAATACAAGAGATTGTACAAGCATGCTGTGTCATATAACTAATATTTGGCAAAACGAATATGCATTGGCTGCTACAGCAAGTGCGCGGGGACTGACAGCAGCAACATACATTCGCCAACACTCGCTCTGGCTGCCGTGAAACAGAGGCGTTGTATCGGCTGCCGTAGCCAAGAGTTCCGGGCTGCTTATGTGTGCGGACTCCCATACAACGCCATATATTCGTCTGACGCACTAGGCAGCCAGGCTGCCTAATGCGCGGTGAGTCTTGTGGAAGAGATGTCTCTTCACTTTCCCCCCCTTTGCCTTTTCATAAGTGCTGTCTCATGCGAGGTTCGGACGTGGGTTGTTGAGCGACAGGAGGTTTTTAGTCGGTTCGGTAGAGGGCGGAAGTCCGACGATTTTCTCCTGACCAAAAAAGAAAAGGCTCAAGAACCACAATGTCGAAAGTAACTATTAACAGCGGTATGGAGCTCATAGCACATTATGGAATGAAAAATCGGAATTAGTATGCAGATGCATATTATTCAGTGTATAATAATGTTGTTAGAGCCATTCCAGTCTATGCCAGAAAACTTCGTTTGTCACATATACTGTTACACGTTAGTTACACTAATAGTAATTGAATGAGGTGACAATTATTAATAATGAATTCTTATTACATTAAATTACAATGACAATTTGTGGTTTGATTCATTGATTATCTAAAAAGAAAAAAAACACGAGTGACAACAATCCAACAACGTCTTGCAGTAAAGTTCTCATTTTAGACTAGAATCATAAAAGTCGGTATATCCTTTACCTGTGTAAGCAATTCTTCCAATCGACTGCTAGGGACTGGAAGTGCTGCTAATTGTTCGACAAGTGCCATAGTCATCTCAGATTCAACTGTGACTTCAACCCAAAGTGTATCTGTAAAAATATTTAATGAATATTAATCACTCTTAAACTTCTTTTGTAATTTTATAACAACATAATAATGATTAATGAATAATTAGTGTATTAAAGAGAAAACTAACTTCAGCTCAGTCACAATGTCATGTTGAATGCATTAAAATAATGGCTATTCAACCATTACTGGTACTCCTTATTGCTTTGTGATAGAAATAGCAAGATGGTGGTATTAACGGCACACAAGCCCTACTGCTAGAACTACACAAATTACAAATGCAATTTATTTGATTGCATATTGTTCCTTCTATATGATATTTGAACTACCATGAGATCGAACATTTGCAGGTTCACATACATAGGTACCATCATACTGCCCATTCCTGCTCCAAAGTAATTAATTAATTAAGATATTGAGTTCATGACTAGTATCATAGGGGGTAGCAACATTCACGTTGTGATGTCTATGGGCGCGGGTAACCTACACAATAAAACAAAATCCTAAACTTACCAACCACATTCACTACTTCCACATTGAATGTAAAAATATAGATAAGATCAAACTTGCAGATTATTTTAAAGTTTACTGATGGTAAGGCAAATTGAGAGCTAGCTTCATACAATAAAATTGAGACTTCTATCTTACATCTAAAGGTAACATTTAAGTTATCATGTCTATAGCTCCCGGTATGTACTTCATTTTTGGTATCGTCATAAAAACATCCACAATTAAAAATATAGATCTTTAAACACTAAAAATATACTTATAGACTAGAAACTCAATTGCTATCATATCAATCAAATTCAACATAAGGTAATCTCTGCTATCCTTAGACTCAAACAATTTTAGGGACAGCCTTGTCATAGCGTACTGTGAAAAACACTTCAATACAGTTGGAAATGTAAAAACTTACAATAGTACGGCTTAAAACACATACAGACAATAAATTTGAATTAATGTGGCATATGCACTTTTTAACAATTTTCTTAACTTTAAAGTTATTTTATGTATGTGTTTATCAAAGAAAATAATTTCAAGGTCAATTTCAATATATAGAGGGTTAAAAGGCTATATAGTTTAAGCGAAATTTTGCAACTTTACGGGAGAGCCGTTTAAAGTTAATAATTTTGGGAAAAAATATATAAATTTAATCATAAATTTTGGAATATTTCATAACTCTTACCACCTATCTGTTCGCCTTTATCTGTAACTAAATGAAAGAAGCTTTTATGGGTTCCAGAAGTTGAAGGGGCTACTAATTTTAATGTAACTGTTGTGGAATGTCCAACAGGAAGGGGTGGTAAATAAACAGGTGTAGCGCCAAGAGGTTCACCACCAGCTTGTATTAATCTACAACAACCTGGCCATTGTTCTGTTCCTGTGTTGACAATACTCCAATTTTGATCAAAACTGAAAATATTACAACATTTTAAATACATTTTATTTAAATTTAAGGAAGTCATATTATGTATTGAAATTAAGTTACTAAAATTCAAAACCATACCGTGCACCAGGTTCCAAACTACCAGTTGGACCTTCAGATGCTTTTACTGACATTGAAGGAAGCTTTGGTGATGTATAATCTAAATAGCAACATATAGCAGCTTGCAAATTCCTGAAATAAATTATTCAATTTCAGTCATCTACCCTTATAAATGTACTCTAAAATAATAAATAATGATAAGACACATACATACCAGTTACTCATATCTAAGAAGAAACTAGCTGTATTATAATTCAGACTAGGTCCTAAAAGCTTCTGCATTTGTTTAATAAGTTCTTCTCTGTCTGTTGTATTCATACAACTAAATTGTAATAATAGATTTTGATCAATTTCTCCAGGTACTGAGGCGCCATCAACGTCCATTTTAGTTCACGACGTTTTATATATATGAATAAATAAGAAATAAATAATAAACTGTTTGTAATAATTAATTTACAACTTTCAGGTATAATGACATATCCTTTGTTTACGTATGTACGTCAGCTGACTTTTGTTCTGTGAAATAACAAAATTATTATAAGCAACCTAAAATTTATATAAATCGTCAATTCTCATTCTCAAGAATCAAAATTTAATCAAAATAAAAACATTACATAGTGTAAAATGATAAAAGTGATGAACTACGCACATTTCTGAAGAATGAATTTCTGCACAGACTGCTAATGTGTATAACGTTAATTTTTTACAAAAATATTATGACCTGGTAACTAAGACCTTTAGATCATGTCTTAATTTAATTTATATTCATATTTTTATGAAAAATGTTATTATGGAGTGAAATGAAATGAAAATGATCAATTTGAGACATTATTCAACTGGGACGAAATTAAATTAAATGAGATGATATGAGATGAAATATAATATCAGTAAAATGATGGTCAATTACTGAGATTTTTTCAGTGGACTTTTTGGAGGATCCCGAGAAGTTACGTCTTATGGCTTTGTTTCATTTTTCCACATTTTTGAACCTTCACAGATACTGAATAAGAAACCTGAAGAAAGAGTGAGTGAGTTAAACCTGAAGAAACACTAAATAGACAAAACAAATCGCACAGTTTCATTCCTCGCGTTCCCGCCAAAAAATCTATGGTGTGTACTTTCGATAGGTACCATAGATATTTTTTTTGGTACAATTTTTCCGTATTAGAAAAGGCAAGGGGATCTAAGCCCATACAGCCTTGTCCTGTCTATATAATTTATGAGGTATCATAGATAATGCACTCAGTATTTGAGAGTACCCATCTACCTACAAAATGTACAATAGGTGTACCTCTAAAATATTCTTTCAAATATTCGAATGAATTAAACGTTTACCCAAATCTCAAATATTATGTGTATCATCTGTGTTTACCTGTTTTTGGTGTGGGTAGGGAACTTTTTTTTGAAAATGCACAGATGTGGGAAAATGAAACAAAGCTGCTGGACGTAAATTCCCGGGATCCTCCAAAAGTCCAGTGAAAAAATCTGTTTTTTTTTATTGCTTAGATGGGTGGACGAGCTCACCGCCCACCTGGTGTTAAGTGGTTACTGGAGCCCATAGACATCTACAACGTAAATACGCCACCCACCTTGAGATATAAGCTCTAAGGTCTCAGTATAGTTACAACGACTGCCCCACACTTCAAGCCGAAACGCATTACTGCTTCACGGTAGAAATAAGCAGGGCGGTGGTTCCTACCCGTGCGAACTCACAAGAGGTCTTATCACCAGTTTAATTACTCAAATTATAATTTTGCGGGTTTGATTTTTATTGCACGATGTTATTCCTTCACCGTGGAAGTCAATCGTGAACATTTGTTAAGTACGTATTTCATTAGAAAAATTGGTACCCGAAACCGGGATTCGAACACTGTTGCCTCGCTCGATACGAATGCACCGGACGTCTTATCCTTTGGACCACGGCGACTTAAATGACCACCATTTTACTGAGATTATATTTCATCCCATTTCATCTTATCGCATCTCATTTCATTTAATTTCATTCCAGTAGATTAATATCGCAAGTTAATCATCTTCATTTAATTTCATTTAACTCCATATTATCATTTTTCATAAAATTATGAATCAAAATTAAAATAAGACATGACTTAAAGGTGTAAGTAACCAGGTCATAAAATCCCTTCAAAAATTTTGGTATGGTTATGTACATCTATGCATATTATCATAGACTATACACTTAATATAATTGAGTGAGACATATTATTATTTAATATGGTTATTATGGTTAAAAGGATATGTAAGGATAAAAGGAAAGGATTAGAATATAAAGAAGGATAATAATGGATAAAAAAGTGCACAAATGTACTTTTAACGGATGTACCACTGCATTTAGTAGACCATTCAGATTAACACAACACCTTCTTACACACGTGAATGTTGTAAGTTCTGAAACTAACCGGTATTTATATTGTTTTCATTATTAGTCTGAAAGTACCTGAATACAGTTAAGAAGATTACAAAACACTAAAGAATTTTATAATAATTAGACGGGTACAAGAGATACAAGAGGCTAGTAATTTAATTTAAAACCGACCTTACTTTTAAATGCACAAAAAAGCGTGCTAACATTTTTCTCATTAAATTAAATTAAAAAATAGAAAATTGAAATTTATCACCAATTCGCTCTTTCAAAATATTAAAAACATTACTCTGCCTTTCGTAATGTATTAATTAATCATTTACTTGTATGCAAATTTTACACTTGAAAACAATTCTCTTTTTAGAGAGCATTTCGATGTACTAAATGTTCAAAAACGTACACAACAAAAAGTCATTTGATTCGCCATGACAATACAGTACATTTGAAGATAAAAACAGATGTTATTTACAGGTATGTTTAAGCATAGCTATAGAATTTTATGTCAAAAAGTATGTATTTTTATTAATAATTGAAATGGATAGTGAAACAATTTTCGTATACATCTGTAAAATACTAACATTGTAGAATGAAATCAAACCTGGTAGGCTGGGTATACTCATTCCTATGGTAAATCAATTTCATTTTATTACTGCTCTTGTAGGTAGATAATATACGGCCCATCTAATGATGAGGGCTTATCTTATGGACATAAGCAATGCCAAGGACACAGCCAAACTGTTCCTTACATATAAATAATTAGCCCTAAATTAATAAAGTATTCTCAATATAATTCCATGAAATCGATGCTCAACCCTCAAAGTTGAGCTATGGCTTTTATATGATGTTTACTATATCCAGTAACCAAACAACGCCATAGTGAGTTTCTATATTTGTAATACAGATTGAAAATATATTTCAGTTGTCCAGAATGTATGCAAGTGTTTGCAAATCGTCAAAATTTAAAACGTCACATGCAAAAGAAACACATACAAGGTATAAATAATTACTGTTGTGAACATTGCAAAAAGTATTTCCGAAAAATAAATCAATTAAGATCTCACATGTACCAACACACTGGAATAAAATCTTTTAAGTAAGTGTTTCAATATTATCAACATTTTGTTATGCTGTGGTGTTACGATTAGCTGTTGTGTTTTCTAATACAAACTACCATAAACAGTTTTGGATTTTTTATAAATATTAATTTTCTTGATATTGCATCATACACATTTTGGTGGATATCTCCTAATAGCCAATTTGGGATAGAATGCAAAGCATGCACCAGTAAGTATATTATGTTCTATGTATATATATTAAGTATATGATGTTTTGTGGAAAAAATCAGTTTTAATAGTGTTTGTCTCGAAAAAAAAGTAACTTATACCTTTTTGGATAATTAATAAAATGAGCATGTTTTTTTAGTACTTTGTACATTAGGTATTTTTTTGTCTGGGTAAATTAACATATTATACAACTTCAAATAATTAAATAAATTCAAAAATACTATTGGGTTTATTAGTCACATATGCAATATTTTAGTACTTATTAAACTTTGTTACTAACTCACCTGATAATAAAAAATATACAGCTGACAGTCAATCCACAATTTTTTATTATTTTGTCTAAAGCAACCAAAATAGGGTATTTTTAAAAAAGCTTTATCGAATGTCTCAGCACCTACCAACCATACATTGAGGGGTCTGAATTTTTACCATTTTTGCCCTGCTATTTCGTCCTGGCCAGAAAAAATTGAATTACTAATAATGCTGTATGTTTATTAATCTTCATAGGGAACATACATTTCTGTATTTATTTCAGATGTAACAAATGTTTCAAAGAATTTATTACGCACTATGAAAAGAGGAAACATATGAGATGTCACAAAATTTATATCTGTGAAGAGTGCAAGAAACAGTTTGATAAATACAATGATTTTCAAAAACATAAAAAGGAACATGATACCAAAGGTATTTTTCTATTCAGTATTCTGAAAATATTAATTATATTTAGTGCCTGTTGTAATATTTATAGCAATCCAAATCTTACACTACAATTTTAGAAATACCAGTGGCCTCAGTTTCTATGATTGCATCATTTCAGAAAAAAAAATCAGTACATCTCAGAGTCGATTCATTAAATATCTGTGATCTAAAGCAATTATCATAAAGTTGAAGTCTTAGATTGTCCAATAACAATGTCTTTTTGCCCAATATGTTAATCTATTCAATAATAATTGTGCCTGTTGATGTCTATATCGTGTTTTCTCTGTAAATCTAAGCTTCTGGTCACTTTGTGCTAGCTAAGTAACTCGATTTGTGGATAAGATCATATGAATTTTTATCTATTTGATGTTGGGTCAATGTTGGGACGACCTCAGACCCACCTTTGGTTAAGTGGTAACTGGAGCCCATAGAAATTTGCAATGTAAATGCCACCACTTACCTCGAGACATGAGTTGTAAGGTCTCAGTTTTAACAGTACATCGGCTGCCCCACCCTTCAAACAGAAAGGCATTACTGCTTCATGGCAGAAAATAGACGGGGTGGTGGTACCCACCCTGTGGGGACTCTGTCCTACCAACAGTAATTACGTGAATTATAATGGTGTGGGTTTGATGTTTTATTACACGATGTTATTCCTTCACCGTGAAGGTCAATTGTGACCAATTCTTAAGTACGTATTTCATACCGTTGCATCGCTCGACACGAATGCACAGGGCGTCTTATCCTTTAGGCCACGACATATTTAAATGACCAGTCTAGTGAACTATGGCCCGTGTTATGTGGTTACTGAAGCCCATAGACATCTCGTTGGAATACCTCCCCACCTTGAGATATAAAGCCACGTCGCAATTGCACAAACCCGAACCCATTACTGCTTCACAATAGAATAAGCAGGGTGATGGTGCCTACTTATAAGGGCTTACGAGATCCACTGTCATCAGTAAATTCATTATCATTCATCGAATATTTAAGAAAATACACAAGCTCGTAGCTGTGATTGGCTCTGAATTGAATAAATGTTAGTCCTCTTCCGTCAAAAATCATCTTTTTAAGTATGTATTTGATTTTTTCAGAATATTGCTGTGATAAATGTGGTGTTAGTTTTAAGGAGAGAATACTCATTGTTCGACATCTGAAAAAACATTCCCAAAGTAATAATCGACATTTTCCTTGCCCTCACAAAAATTGTGGAAGGTAATTATTAATGAAATAAATCAATAGGTTATATCTGTAGAAAAGAGAAGATTATTGTACCTTTTAATAATCTATTTTGCTTACATTAATTAATGTGTTTTTATTGTTTCAGAACTTATTCAAGGAATAGTAATCTAAAACAGCATATTTTAACAAAGCACGAACAAATAACTCATGATTGTCACATATGTAACACTCGATTGTGTTCAAAAGTAAGTAATTTAATAGTCATCTATTAATCAATCAGTAAAATGTCTTTTTAACTATAAACTATCGACTTATTTCAGGCCAAACTGAATAATCATTTAAAACTACACAATAAACCGATCACGGAAGTAGTTTCTGTACGTGCAAATACCAAAGCGGCTGGTCGCAAAACTCGAAAGGATATGGGCGTTCCGAGGAAGTCTATTGCATTGAAACTAGCCGGCTTTGAAGAACAAAACGAAATAAAATCAGCTATACCATATTTAGCAGAAACGTGTATGACCTAGATTATTTAAATAAAATGATTTTAGGATTCAACTCGCTCATATCACTGCTTCTCAAATAAAATAAAGAGACCTACTTTATTTATTTTTATCTAGATCTTTTTAAATACCTACCTACATAAACATATCTTGGCATGATGAAACCTTAGTGCGAGTTTTTTAACGTTCTCGATAGCGTGAAAGTTAGTAAAATTTGTATGGAGTTGAAACGTTTGCATATTATTATGTTTGCCGCTAGGAGCACTGTTCCAGCTGCATACAAATTTCCGGTAACTTTTATGCTATAGAGAACGTTAAAAAACTCGCACTAAGCACACAGATGCTCAGTATCGAGTTTCCTCCAGTTCGAGTCATCTTTATTCTATGGAATGATTTACATATATTTCGTAAATTTTGTGTGAGGTAAATATATAAATTTGGAAAATACGTTGCTCTTAATTTCTGTATTCATCTCAACTGTGTAACTCTGCATTCCATACTAATGGTAAAGTTCTAACCATTTAAAAGTTTAGTCTATATCAATAAAAATATTAAGCTTTCGGTACACTCGTTAATATTTAATTTTCTTTCCAATAAATAGACGTAAAATTTTAGCCCTAGTTTTAATTTCATTGATTTTCATTCGTTTTATTTTTCCTTTGCTCTGTAGAAAAATATTATTTTTTAAGAATAGATTTGTATTATTGTAGTTTAAACCAGTGTACTCTGTATTAAATATCCAATTAAAATTAACGAAAGTTATTTGCACTCTAATTAACTTTAATGTGAACGAAAGTCTTAGAAACCATGTAGGCAGCGGCTTGGCTCTGCCCCAGGCATTTCAGAAGTCCATGGGCGACGGTAACCACTCCCCAACAGGTTGGCCGTATGCTCGTCTGCCTACAAGGAAAAAAAAAAACACCAATACCTACTAATGCCGTTACGCTGCTCCGTCTGCACCTACAATTTAAATTACATTGCATAAATTGCATATTATAGGAATGAGTTAATACTTTTGAAGTGGAAAAATAGGAAGACTCATTCATTCTTCAGTAGATTCCGATCATTTTATCGGGCCATTACTTCATTTTATTACGTAACAGTACCTATGGTGTTGTCTTATCTCACTTCATTTAAATCTGTTCCGTTAAATATTCAAGCAAGCCATGGCTTTTTAATTTATTTCAAAAGTTTGGCTGAATAGGCCACATCTCCTTTGTCTATCCAATGGATACATCAATGGAAAAAGCATAAATATGCATGCATTGCACTGTTGTCAAATTTCTTGATAGCAGAGTGCGTTATCATTGCGTTATCAAAAGCTTAATTGCATTTTAAAATGAATGGGTTATAGAGTATTTATTGAGCATTTAACATTTAATATACATCTTAAATTTTATTTAAAAACAAGTCGTCATCTAACTAAATTAAGTTTCTTTAGAAACCACATATACATACTTCAAAGGTAATAAATAATTTAATTACCGAAAATCAATAACATATCATTTGATACCGATATGGAATTCACACTCAATATTTTCACCTTGAACTGTTGGTAAGTGTATATTAACTGAATTGTTGGTAATATAATATCATATTCTGAAGTAATTCAGTCATGGTAGTGTGATATGTTTATTAAGTAATCTTAAATTGTATTAAAAATATATATGGCCAAAGAAACAAATCTAAAATAACTTTTCTTAATCAATGAATGTTAGAATTAAGTAAAAAACAGTATTTATTTTTGTAATGGTACATACCATAGGCATTGGGGAAGGCCAACAGTGGGCAGATAAAGGCTGATGATCATGATGATGATGACATACCATACTAAAGATAGTAGTAGTAGATAGAATACGGAATGAATATGTTAGAGGAAGAGTGAAAGTGGCATCTGTGACAGAGAAGCTGAGAAGTGCGCGTTTGGGATGGTATGGATATGTGATGTGACGAAATGAAAATGAGGTTGATAAGAAAATGTTAACTATGAGTATGGAAGGATATAGAGGAAGAGGTTGACATAAGAAGAAATGGATGGATTGCGTGAAAGATGATATGGGTAAGAGGGGAGTGAGGGAAGAAATGGTATATTATAGAAGAGCATGGGAGAAGGGTAGGATAATGATGATGATGTGACATACCATACTAAAGATAAAGAGAGCTTAGCCTATACAATAAACCTTTATTATTAATCTAATGTTACTTTTAAGGGGTATACCAGTGGTGTCTAAGAATAAGAAAGAAAGATATGAAGCTATATCTACATACTTATTAAAAAGCGAACATAATATAGTCTGTTTGCAAGAAGTTTGGAGTGAAAAAGATTATCTATATTTAAAGGAGAACCTAAAGAATGTACTCCCATATTCTTACTACTTTTACAGGTAAACAAATGTAGTCAGGAATACTTTTAGTTATTGTATAATGTTAATAATCAACCTAGAAATAATTTTATACTACTCCCTACCAATTTCTGCAGTGAAGTGAAAAAGCTTCGTGCTTTTTGCTTCGTGACCTTGAGATAACATTCCAAACATGAAATCATGACAGTAAATTTTCTAAACTCAACACTACTCTTGTCATTATTAATAATTCTTGTGACTTTAATTCCATGTGACACTAGTATGTAAATCATTAATAATTTTTGTGATGATACTTATTATTTATTACTTTTTTTACTTATTATTATTATTGTTTATTAGAACTGATGTTCTAATATATAAAATCATGGAAAAAAATATGAGCTTTCTTTCACTTTCTTTTACAATGTAAACATCTATGGTTGTGTATGTACAAATTAAGGGTACATGTTGCCCTAAATGTATATTGTATTTTACAGTATGGGCAGTCCTTTGTTTTTCTATCAGTGCTGCCAAATGAAAGACACCCAAAAGTGGTTCTTAACTATATTTATGAATATGCTAATTAATAATAATAAATAAATAAATGTATATAATAATTGACATAAGTATCAAAATTCTTTAATTTATATACTGTGCAATATCATGTAAAACTGGTACAGTGTACAGAGGGGAATAGGTGTACATATTTCAATTCTTAATTACACATACTATTTTTTTTTTATTACAATTATATTCATTTATTTAGAAACAAGTGTAGCTGGAAAGTAAGTCTCATCTGCATCCATGATCGTAATCTGCTACACTAAGATTGTTTGCATACTTACTGCGAAATGAATCCAATGAATTTGGATTGGAAAAAAATCATAATTATTTTCACCAGTGTCTTCATTTTGAAATGATTTTTTATTATTTACAGTGGAGTTCTAGGTTCAGGTCTCTGTGTATTTTCTAAATGGGTAATCCAAGATGTCTTCTTCCATCAGTGGCCCTTGAATGGGTACATACACAAAATACATCATGGTGACTGGTTTGGAGGAAAAGGTGTGGGTCTCTGTCGGATCAAGTTTGGGGAGANAATTATTTTAACCAGTGTCTTCATTTTGAAATGATTTTTTATTATTTACAGTGGAGTTCTAGGTTCAGGTCTCTGTGTATTTTCTAAATGGGTAATCCAAGATGTCTTCTTCCATCAGTGGCCCTTGAATGGGTACATACACAAAATACATCATGGTGACTGGTTTGGAGGAAAAGGTGTGGGTCTCTGTCGGATCAAGTTTGGGGAGAGACTCATCAATGTCTATTGCACACATGTAGGTATTTATTAATATTTTTAAGTAATTATCCAGTTTATATTTCACATTCATTGGAATTATTATTATTGCCTAACTATGCTTTGTATGATACATAGAATACGCACAAAAAACCAACAAACAAACAAGTAGATATAGTTATATTTTAAAGATTGACTTGTAGATTTGTAACAATTACCACAAAGCCAATGTTAACAGTTGACCAAATATTTTGTAATTAATAAGATTTAAATTTAATTTCCAGCTTCATGCAGAATACCATGAAGACGACATTTATCTAGCTCACCGTGTGCTTCAGGCATACTCAACAGCAGAGTTCGTCAAATTAACATCATCACCAGCTGATGTTTCTATACTAGCTGGAGATTTAAATACTGCACCCGGAGATTTGTCTTACAAGTGAGTACCAATATTCTTCTATTTAGTATCTGGTGAATGAACATGAACAGAAAAGAACTTTAGTCATAAGACATAACATTGTTAAGTTCATTTTTTTTCTATTATACAATCATACAAAGAATGAACAATCTATATTCAAATCTCTTTTTACCTGATTCTATGATTATCTTTGCAAATTTACAGGATAATATCCCAACTGCCATCTCTTCTTGATCCATATAATATGAAGTTTGAAGGGACCAATCCTTTAATAGCTAAAGCATCTGGTACAAGTGAGAGCCTCAACAATAGCTATTCGGATCCTAAACAAGTAAAGGCATATCCTGAAGGGAAACGTATAGATCATATATTATTCCATACTAACCATTTTTGGGAGGTAAGTAATATATTTCAGTAGACACATTTTTTTAAAGAATTCTGTGTTATGCTCCAGTTCTGTGTGATGCAAGGCAGACTTGGCTGTTATTTGTTGCTTTGGTTTCACTGATTTCTACCCGATGATATGCAGGTGAAGTAAAATGTCCCTTAAAAATAAGGTGACACACTACAAAACTTGCATACGCCCCGTCATCACCTATGTAAGTGTAGTGTTCGCTCACGCGGCCCGCACTCACTTAAAATCATTCTAAATTATTCAATCCCGTTTTTGCAGGATAGCCGTCGGAGCCCCGTGGTTCGTCAGGAACGTCGACCTCCATGACGACCTGGACTTAGAGTCCATCAGTATATGCAGTTGGCGTCGATGCGCCACTTCGATAAAGCGGCACGACACGAGAACCCTCTCATCGTGGCTGCCGGTAACTACATTCCCGATCCTGCGGAAAGAATGGAAAGCAGTCGACTTCGCCCCAAACACGTCATTTCGGATCCTCCCGATCCACTAACGGTGCTTTTAGGTACTTCAAGCACCGGTCACCGTTCTCGCCGAACCTGTCGCTTGCGACGAAAGGCTCGACGAGTAAATTAACCCTCAGACACAGCCCACTGAGTTTCTCGCCGGATCTTCTCAGTGGGTCGCGTTTCCGATCCGGTGGTAGATTCTGCGAAGAACTGCTCTTGCTAGGGTTCGTGTTAGCAACTTCGTCAGGTTTGAGCCCCGTGAGCTCACCTACTAGTAAAGGTTCCACTGAAATAGCCTCTCAAGGATATCAGCTTAGGTAGGAAAAAAAAATCACTGATTTAATTGTAAGCAGCGACTAGGCATTGGGATTGATGACGTGCGTGAGTGACGTTGATCATGGACTGTCAGATGAGCTACAAGCTCGTCAACCTTGCAACATTAAAAAGCGATTATATTATAGTATAATTATAGCATAAGAGAAACAGCCCAGTGAGCATTTCAATAATTTAAAGTTTTTTTTTATATATAACATTAAAAATATTCACACACTTACTTAAGTAGAGACAGTATAAGAAGTGTATATATTTTATTTTTGCTCTTACAGGCCCGTGTCGTGAATTTCGGTAATCCGTTACCAGATAGAGTTCCAGAACAACAGTTTTCTTACTCTGATCACAATGCAGTCTCGCTTGAGTTACACCTAAAACCTTGTGAACAGAAATTAAACCAGAGACAAGAGAGTGTAGACAGTGCATTTCAAGAAACTATCACTCAAGCGATCAAAGTCTGCAGGGATGCCACAACAAATTTATCGAAATCAAAAAAGCTGTATTTACTCAGTGGCGGTTTAATATTCATGTTTTTATTAGGTTCAGTAGGTTTCTGGCCTAACTTTCTTATTTATGATATACTGAAACTTCTTATTACAGCCTTATGCTTCTACAATTTAGTAATGGGATCTCTATGGAATCAAATTGAAATGAACAGTTTGAAAGCTGGTCTGAATGCCTTAGAGAATTTCATTCAGACAAGAAACGATACAAAACCCGAAGACACCAACAAAGAGGATGTTAAAAACAAATGACACACGGAAATATTTTTTATTAAAACTAATGTTTGGAACTGAGCTAATAAATCCGTACTAATGAGATTAATAGAGGCTATATTTTATGAATTTTAAATATACATTATTTATACATATAGTAACTTATTATAAATAAATTATCTTGATATCACATCACTTTTATACAATATCAGCACTGTGTTATATTTTATTAAAAATGTATGTAGGATAAAGCTTTAATATAAGTAAAAACTTTACCCACACAGTGGCCTCAACCTAGTATTATCCCGAGTAATGGATACTGGTCGTACTAAACAAGTACACTCGAAAATACAATTTTTCACATAGATACTGCTTCGACCCGGTATTGGGGTTTGACTGCTCATTTTCTACAACAATAAATCATTAAAAATCATAGTTTCATTACGGTTTAATGTAACAAATTTTTTTTACTTGAAATTTCTTGAATGTACATTTATTTTATTAGCACCTAATTGTAAGTCAAATTTTAACAGCCACTAGCAAATCGCACTGGTGCCAAATGAATATCGATTAAGTTAATTGATGTTGCGGAAATTATAGAACAAATGAATGAATCTAGGAGAACGTAAATAGTTTTTGTTTTATCTTTTTAGTGGGTTTAATTAAAACTACTTTAACAGTTTGTTCCCGCGATTGCACATACTTCATAATCATTCCTTTATTAAAGAATCCAAAAGCAAATTAAATTGCAATAAATACTATGCTAATATTCTTTTGAACATTTACTAATTTATATCACGCTCAAACATGAACAAGGCACAATTTGTACTTAACTTGAAGGATGAACTAGGTGTTTTCCTTGGTAATTATAATTAAAAAAAAACAACAGAAAATTTAATTGTATTTAATGATCTTTAGCAACGGTGGGCTTTTATAGTAAAAAAAAGATTGCAGCCTAATTTTAAACCTAGTACAACATCATATCTGTGCCTCTACAATAAACAATGTAAACACTTACCAGGCAATAAAAACGAATGTAACTGATATAATTTTATATGAAATCAATTTTTAATCCTGTTATTGAGAAATGTGTATGATGTGTAGTTATGTAATAATTAAAAAATATTCAAATAAATAAAATTTATTAAAATTTATGCTATTTATTTCCACTTGGTGATGACTGCATGACCATCCTGTATTTAAAAGTAGATACTGGCAACACTATAAAATACTAACTTATTGCGATTATTATCTTAATTTTTTAATCATGCCTAATTGTCAACGATTTGATGTCATGACTGTATTTTGCTTTAACAGTTTTGAGCCACTTTTACGAATCAAAAACTAGGTCCCAATCAGGGCTTTAATATTTTTTTATGAAATATTTGGGGGTGTATTTATTTGTATATCGATAGGTCCTGTGCAGCCAATGTCTAAAAATTATTTAAAAAAACGTTTTATATTGAAATATTTATTTGTAAATCTTAGTTGTGTATGCTTTATAATTAAATTGTAAATAATTATCACATTCATAAATTTTAACAGCTACAAATAAGTACCACTAAATATTCATAATTAGCAGATCATAAAAACATGAAAATATTTTGAATTAAATACATTATTAGCACACTCATGCTTTGGTAAAGTGAACAACTGGTTTAAGATATATTTTAAGTAGCAAGGGAATGTTCAAAACGACTATTTTATCGATCTAACATAAATAGCTTGTGATATGAAGAAAATAAAATACAAAAAAAAAAACTCCATTAAAAACATAACAAAACTTAACAGTTTCCGTGTTATTGTCGAGAATCACGTGCGAATATATTTACATTAAAAAAATGTCACAATGATCTCTTATTTCATAAAACATGAGGCAAAAACTTATTAGGGCAATAGCTGAAGATAGTACATATTATTATGTACATATAATCATTTAGAGAGGAGTCTGAGGGTTTCTCTTCAATTGTTAAAAATTCAAAACTTATATCAAACTACAATACTCAATCACCTTAGTCATATTTAGTCGCGTTTAAAATAATAAGAAATGACTGCTTTTGGGCGTTACGTTCCGTTTCACACTAGCCAAATTACTTCCTGTCACTTTAGTACATAATCTCTTTTCGTATTTAAATACTTAAGACGTTGGAAAAACGTCTCATCTTACATAAAAATAATTAAACTGCTGCTTAATTCGTGGCATGTCAATAATAGCGTTAAGCCTGAGGATTTTCGTTATCGTTCGATTTATCTGAAGCGTCGAGTAAAGGATCGGTTTCTGAGGTCATTGACATGTTCGTAACCGTGTTTTCTAGAGATCCGTATGCCGAAGGTCGAACTTCTACCGAAGGCGTTTCCGTCTCCGTAGTCAAATTAGGAGCCGAACTGGACGGAACCGGCTCACCCATCAGTCTAGAACTTTCGTCGTATCCACGAGTCATGTGATACATCGATTTACCTCGTAATCGTCTACTGAAAGAACTCCCTGTAAATGTAAAATATNTGTTCGTAACCGTGTTTTCTAGAGATCCGTATGCCGAAGGTCGAACTTCTACCGAAGGCGTTTCCGTCTCCGTAGTCAAATTAGGAGCCGAACTGGACGGAACCGGCTCACCCATCAGTCTAGAACTTTCGTCGTATCCACGAGTCATGTGATACATCGATTTACCTCGTAATCGTCTACTGAAAGAACTCCCTGTAAATGTAAAATATGATATATTAATTATGGAATTGTCGACGAGTGATGACCTTATATAATAATCTGAATAGCTATTATCAAAGTTGCCTGCTTGACCTTGATCCTTTAAGCTATCTACCACTAAAATGTCCTTTGTATCGTAAGTAGTAGTGACATCCTCAACGTAACACCTTATGCAATAAAAAAAATCCCATCTATTCAATAAATAACAAATGCCAATATCAAGCGCTACCTTCATACAAACGTCCTATAAAAATAATTGTGGACATGTCATCTGGCCTCAAATTAGAATTCCCTCTAGTATGGGTACAATAGACTGCTATATATTTTTTTATTTTTTTTATTGCCCTTGTAGGCAGACGAGTATACGGCCCACCTGATGGTGAGTGGTTACCGTCGCCTATGGACTTCAGCAATGCCAGGGGCCGAACCAAACCGCTGCCTACCGTCATACACACATTTCTACGATTAAACAGATACATATATAGATATTAAACACCCGGACATTGTGCCGTCTTTGCTTAGTACCTAAATAACGTAAAGAAGAAGACAGATTTGTTGAGGATGCTAGAACAAATAGATTTCATTATGAAACCATTTTTATTTCCATTTAAAAGTTGCACGGTTATCCATTACCATAAAAACGATCGTTGTCTATATAAATATGTAATTTAACTTTAAATACTTAAAATAAATAAAAAGTATCAAACAATTCCAAGACGCTGAATAATTACAAAAAAAAAAACAGGTCCTAAACAGAAAAACATGATTATTATTCATAAAACTGGTTCAATTACTTATGAAATCGTTTCGATTCTATATATGGATATGTATATTAATTTAAAGTGTCTACGTACCGACGACACCAAGGTGCTCGGATATGTCCCGTTTCACGTCCGAAACATCCCACATTGCGAGAAACGAGCCAAGACACGAAGGCGACGCGTCCAATGGCGACACGTAAGGCTTGTACGAGAAACTATAATGATGCGCTATCGCCGCCAGAAACATTTCTATACATATGAGGAAGTCCTGCAAAAATATTCATTTAATTATAGATTTACTATTTTAACGATTTTGTATTTTTATTTATTTATTGCTTAGATGGGTTCACAGCCCACCTGGTGTTAAGTGGTTACTGGAGCCCATAGACATCTACGACGTAAATGCGCCACCCACCTTGAGATATCAGTTCTAAGGTCTCAGTATAGTTACAACGGCTGCCTCACCCTTCAAACCGAATTACTACCTACCCGCGCGGACTCATAAGAGGTCCTACCATAAAAATTATTATTTATTCTAATAATTTATTTATTTATACTATTGTCCGTATAGTAGAAATTTCGCAATTAATTTTCAGCTTGCCTTAGAGCTAAACTAAACTAAACAATACCTATCGTATGAGAAATTCATTTTATAGTGATTTGATACAAAGTAGACTATAAAACGAACTAATATTGTCATATTGTAATCATACACTGAAAAGCATCGTCCTGCTGCCTTTTCCTGTAAAACAGTAATGATAACACTACTGTATTGCTACTATTATTGTAAATACACGAAATAGTATCGCCAATGCTAGCGTCAAATCCATGTCGCAATCTGATCTACAAATAATTATTATTTTCAAAACTAGTTAAATCAACTAGCTAATCAAAGAAGGATTCATTCCATAGGGCTTGAAACGCGAAACAAAAAAAAATGGCGAGTCATTCGAGTGATAAAAACTAAGATTCACATTAAAACAAGTTTAATGAGAAATCTGATAGTTCAATGTGATATGCAATTAGTATGATCGTAACTGCATACCTACTAATTATGTTTAATTTATGAAATAAATTGTACAAATTTTATATAAAGATTATTTTTAATTTGTAGTATAATTAAAAACCTTAAACGATTTACTGGTGGTAAGACGTGTTGTGAGTCCGCACGGGTAGGTGCCACCACGCCGCTTATTTCTGAAGTGAAGCAGTAATGCGTTTCGGTTTGAAGGGTGGGGCAGCCGTTGTACTGTTACAAGTGAGACCTTAGAACTCATGTCTCAGGGTGAGTGGCGGCATTTACGTTGTAGATGTCTATGGGCTCCGGTAACCACTCAACACCCGGTGGGCCGTCAGCTCGGCCACACATCTAAGCAACAAAATAAAATATTTTTATATTTCTAACTTTTATAATTTCAAACGTATCGATTATTTAATAATTTTCTAATTACTGCACGACGACACGAGAACAAACAATCAGTTCTTCGACTCGCGAAGGCAATATGTATAACATTTTACGATACACACGTATCGTAAATCGTATTAATATTTATATTATTAATTTATATTATTCCTACCGTGCGTTATATTTAGTTAACTTCCACGATATTTTTATAACACCTAGTTCAAAAGAATAAAAATAATTTGACAGGTAACTCGAGACCTTGAACTCACTATTCGTAAAAAAATATAATGATATACAAATAATGTTACTTTACAGCATTTAGGAATTAATAAAATGAATGCATAAAATTTTCTACGATGATGTTTCTAGATTAGGACTATATTTTTTTTAGATTATTCATATATATCATAATATGAGTAGATGAACTTCTGACTTCGGTAACGAATCCTTTAATATCCGTTAATATATTGTACACGTAGACAAAATTTGAAAAAGTTTTAGACAAATTCGAATATTACACAGAAAATGAACTTTAAAAAAGGTATGGAGCTCTTAAGACATCTCCGCACTTTCCGGCTGGTGCAGGTGCTGCCTACTATCCCCAACGCATACGAGGAATAAAAAAATAGTTTACTTTACACATGAATAATAAAAATTACCTGCAGCTTTGAAGATATAATCTTGACTGTATCAGTATCCGAAATGTCAAATATCGTTTTTAAGACACCGCAGTAAACCAATATGGTGATTATCACTCCTTGGCTAAAACAAGAGTTTAAATAATAATAATAATTGTTCTTGTTGAAGTGTGCATAAAGTATAACATTTTTAAATTGGAAATGTAACATGCACATGGCTCATTTGATGTTAAGCAGTTAACAAATCGAATGCTGCTGCCCACATTGAAACATAAGTCTATTGTTACCTCTATTGTAGTAAATATCCTACAACTACCCTTTTAAAAAATCAATTTTTTTTATTGCTTATGTCGGTGGACGTGCTCACGGCCAATGATGTTAAGAAGTTACCGGAGCCCATAGACATCTACAACGTAAATGCCGCCACCGACCTTGTGATAAGAGTTCTCAGGTCTCAGTATAGTTACGGCTGCCCCACCCTTCAAACCGAAACGCATTACTGCTTCACGGCAGAAATAGGCAGTGTGGTGGTACCTACTCGTGCGGACTCACAAGACGTCCTACCACCAGTAATTACGCAAATTATAATTTTTCGGGTTTGATTTTTATTACACGATGTTATTCTTTCACCGTGGAAGTTAACATTTGTCAAGTACGTATTTCATTAGAAAAATCGGTACCCGCCTGCGGGATTCGAACATTGTTGCATCGCTAGATACGAATGTAACGGACGTCTTATCCTTTAGGCCACGAATACTCATTAATAATTATCATCAATAATTACAAATTACATTAATGATACATTAGTGACTATTGAATCCAAATGCTATTTGAAATGTTCAAAGCTGTTTTATCGTCACTAGAGCAAATAGTGCTGTCCTCTATACAAACAACAAGGGTTTCTTTTTCTACCTATGCTGATAGAAGCCTTAAGAAGCTATTTCTGCTTCTCCTTGACATGTAGGTGAGCTCACGGGGCTCAAATAGGGAGTGTTGCTAACACTGACCCTAGCAAAAGCAGTGCTTCGCAGAATCTACAGCCAGATCGGAAACGAGACCCATTGAGAAGATCCGGCGAGAAACTCAGTGGGCTGTGTCTATGGGTTAATTTACTCGTCGAGTCCTTCGTCGCAAGCGACGGATTCGGCGAGGGCGGTGACCGGGACAAAGGATCAGAAGACACACAGCTGTTACAATAGAGAAGAAGAGTTTTGATAATAACTATTTTACTTAAAGTACTTAGGGATTCAATAATCTATTTTCTGTCTTGCTCATACAAAATGAAACGTTAATACGTTTTTGGTAGCATTAATACTAATACTTACAAAAAAGAGAAAAAAACAACAGCTTTTATACATAAGAATTTCCCAATAGGCTTCATTGGTTTGAGCTCAGTTCTGTTTGCCTTGTAAAAGAGTACCAAACAGTACATAGCTACGAATTGTGATAGATTGTTTATGGCTATGATATATGGAAATGCTACATTAGGTTTGAAGTCACTCTCCCCATATACATCATTCAGCTCACATATCATTGAAATTACTGTAGTTATTGGCCTTACTAAAGTGTATTGAAGTATTCCATGCTTGCAGTTATGTACAAATTCCCTGGAATTAAAGAGTATTCAGCAGTGGTACATTTTAAATTTTTTAAGCTTAATTTTACTGGACATTTTAATTTAAGGGTCCATATACAATGCCATCTTGACAAATTAGGTTGAGGTTGACTTTTTTTTTTGTTCCACCTTTCAAGCCATAATAAAATACAGTGTTTTTTTTTAAAATACTATTTAACTTTACGATAAGTACAATTGAATGAAAGTAATTAAGAATTGACTTAGTAAAATGTTTGGGAACAAAAAACCCAATATGTATTGGCTCATGAATCTGAAACCTGATGGTGGAAATATTTCATTTTATCTGTTTAATTGTGACCAAAGTTTTATGATCATTATTTACATCAAAATTTTAGTATATGGCCTGAAGTAATTAAGTTAATATATTGTAACGGAAATTAAATTGAACTGACTAAACCTGAAAATTTCACTATTATTAATGCATATCATAAAAAAAGTATTTATGATTATCATACCTCCCCATTTCCCATGGTGCTAGGCAACACAATGGAAATATATGATATACTTGAGGTTTTGTCTCCAACACAGCTTCTAAGTCATGGCCATCATTCAGGTAGTTTAGGAGATACTTCATAAAGTTATATATAACATAGGCTTCATAACATTCTCTCAATGAATCTAGGTAAATTGATTGTTCAGGAAATTCAAGTCCAATCAATGCATTTAGGGCATATATAGGCACCATCCATAGTATTCTGCAAAACAAAATATGTTTACTATGTAATTATATTCTCCATTATTACTATTGATCAACAGATATGTATCTACTTATCCCAGAGCAATAAGATTAGAGCATATATTTTCTAATATACTTAAATTGTAAATAGAAATGGTAATATATGCAAAGAATTGACCTTGAAGACACAAATGTTAGTTTTTTTTTAGATCTGGTTTAACCATGGATCATGTTTAGTATAAATGTATAAATGTATATAGACATGGTTAAGTATGTTCAGTTCACAAATACCAGAATTTACTTTAAGTAACAGTGTTCAAAATTAAACCTATTCTATTACCTTTTTTATTTTGTTTATTCAGTTGAACAAGGCCTTATACACAACAATGTGCAATAAACAAATGCCACTACACACTTTGAGACATAACATACTTACTCAATATTCAAGCTAAGTTATTAGATCCGGAAAGTGTATCAATGATGGTAGTGTAATAAGTAACATTAACTAATTTATTGACTCACACATATAAGCTTTTAGATGTATCAATTTGACGAAAGCGTAATAAACGAGTCAAAGCATTATACCATATGGTATACACTAACAATTAGATAATAAAAACATTACCTTATAATGTGCTTCTGTAACGAAGGCTTAGTATAGTGAACAATGTGCTGAGTTATCTGCCAAATAGATATAGGCACTGCAAGCAGCACGAAGCCACCTCCAACGAGTACTCCCTGATCTGATTTCTTGAACCCATTGTTTATAGAATGTACTATTAATATAGGCACTAGCACCACAATTAGAATGACATATAGAGCAATGAACACAGGTCTAATCCATAACCTCCACTGACTAAAAAATGAGATCAGTGCGTTTGAACACATAATTCCATTAGCTTGCGATGAGAAGAAAATAAATTACAAATAGCACCAACTAGGTACATAATCCAACGAATGCGATGTTGTAAGTGATTTTTATTCGTGTTTTTGTTTTATTTTTCACCCAAATTGTAGCGGTAATGGTATATGGTTAATACGAATATTAACAATTAATTTAAAATATAATATAATTTAAATAAAATTATTACGAATGTACACTTGTTTACTACACAATAAAGTGTAATAGCTATGCAATTGACAGACTGACACTGCAATCTGACTGAAGTGTCTGAAGTTGTGAATGTTGTGAGGTGTGACATTCTGAATTTTGTGACTTTTACTGTGACATTAGGTTATAGTTCTTTTTTCCTTTACAGGAAACGCGTAAACGTTATACCATACAGCCTGATAATTTTCCTTATTTAACGTACAAAAATATAAAGGTCAGGCAGGACCAAATGCATACCTAATTTCACAAAACTAATCATTCGGTAGTATTAGTACTAGTAGAGATCTAACAACAGAGGAAACGTAGACGAAGATGGCTTTGAAGGTTTTTTGCAAAAGATCTTGAAGTTATGGCAACATAGTCTGGCTTATTATTAAAAGTGTTAATAAATTAGAATATTAAATTTAGAAGGAAAGAAACAGTTCCTACTTAAATAGTAACAAAAATAAATAGTTGAGAATATTTTTTTAAATAGTCCAGAGAAATTTAATTTTTTTCATCTCAATACGCTTGACTTTGTTTAAAATTTCTCTAATTCATTAAGTCTTGTAACAATAACTTGCTGTTTACAGGTTTACTTCTACCTTCTCCAGATTAAATATTATAATACCAATAGTTGGATACAAGACTGACATACATATGTGATTGATGCAACCCCCAACAGTCGCTTGGTTTGACATGAATAGGAATTATAAAATCAATTTCACTAAGTTCAGTGGTTTTACTATTTATTTTCAGCGGTACGAAAAGTCAAGTTAAGACAAACTACGAAGAAAAAAACAGTATATATAATTTTACAGCAATTGGTCTATTAATTTTCTCGCCGGATCTTCTCAATGGGTCGCGATTCGAAAGTCCTTCAGGCCTTCACATATTATTCTTTGATAAAAAAAGAAGTTTAGTAACAAACACACGCACCAAAGACTATGCACTAATATCGGAAACAGAAAAAATGGAATTATCCTTTATTGTGAAAAAATATTATTTAAAAACAAGGCCAAACTTTAGAATGAAATTTCTGTTTTAATCAACATTATTTAACAAAAAAAAAACCAATATTTTACTATTACGTTGACATTATTTATTTATTAAAGAAATAATCAAACAATTAGATTCATTTAACCTTCAGGCTTTGATTAACAAAAGTACAAAACAAATTCAATTTGGTGTACAATATGAATAAGACTGAACAAGCTGGCAACTTTTGGATCAGATGTCAGAGTTAAGTAGAGACGGAGATAAGGGTATATCGCTATGTGTGAAAGAGATGCAGCTTTGAGGGAATGACGTCCTTGCCATCTACTGTATTGCCAGAATCCAAAAGGCGCGAAGAAAAACATAGCAGGTGTGTGGATTTTATCAAAATGGTTTTGGTTATTAAATTTTAGTTTTAATTCAAAATAATCATTAAACATAGCTTTCATAAAAGCTTTTAATCATCGTTTAATAATACAATAGAGATTTCATTGCATTCCACTAATTCGTGGATTTACAGTTATTCGCGTAACACGTATTTTGTGCATCGAACAGTGAATTAGGCCACATAGCGATCTCTCCCTAAAATACCGCTGTTCTGGTTGTCGACGTATCAAGATAATGTGAGTTTGTAATTTGTAGCTGTCTTTATGTCTAAATTGTTTGTAAGCGAGATTTCCTTAACATAGGATACGCATTCGAGATGATAGATACGGTTTTAAAATAGTTAATCGCTAGTCGATAATTCGTATGTTTTCGTAAATGGGTCACCTCGCCATTCTTGTGAGAAACAACTTGTTTTCTGGTTTTCCCATAGTGTAACCCAACATTAATGTTTCATACATATCGGCGAGTTAATTTACGTGATGTTTACCACAGTTATGGTGTGTTTGTTTTTTTTNAAGCATTGGAGATGATAGATACGGTTTTAAAATAGTTAATCGCTAGTCGATAATTCGTATGTTTTCGTAAATGGGTCACCTCGCCATTCTTGTGAGAAACAACTTGTTTTCTGGTTTTCCCATAGTGTAACCCAACATTAATGTTTCATACATATCGGCGAGTTAATTTACGTGATGTTTACCACAGTTATGGTGTGTTTGTTTTTTTTAGTATAGTAAGGCGGGAGAGTGATGTTCTGGGAGGTCGCGGATTGGTATTGTGATGTCATCTAAAGGGGAAACAGAGGCCGATTCAGGCACGGTGTCGCCAAATTTGAACACGGAGAAAAATGAACCTGTGAGTGAAATTAAACTTCATTTTTAGTTTCTTACTACTACACCTTGTATTATAGTTGTCATTTAAACTTGACCTAATTATTTCTTAAGATCAGCTGTTTGTAGATTTCTAACCATGAGTTTTATTATTTAAATGCGCAGTGTGCTTAGTTCTGCCCAATTTAATATTTCTTAATCCTGAAATCAAGTTTTAAATGATTAACATTTGTGAAATTCTTTCAAAAATAATCAATTCTGCCAACTGTTTATTATTTGGTACTCGGTGTAGACTTAGTTAATTGCATCTAAGTGATAACAAAACAAAACTTGAGACATCTCTAATAAAATAAAAAACTTGAAACATCAGATAGTCATTTTCATTTAGTCAACACAACAGTGTCTTTCTTAGAATGGATGGAATAGTGTTCTGAATTGAGCTCTTAGAGATATACTTCATCCTTATAAAACAGCATTAATTAAGTGTGTTTTATTGTGTTATAAGTATGTATACATATAGATTGAAAGGTAGCAAAGGAAGAGAATGGAAATTAACATGATAATGATTAAATTTTACCAAGGCTTCAAAATTCTTGAACCTAATAAAAACTTATTAACACCAAGGGCCCTGTTTCATCTGATTCTTAAACAAAATCAGCAGTCCAAGATAAATGAATTAAGTATATATACAAATAAATTCCGCTGACCCTTTCTATAGACAACTATAAATTCTGTTTGGTTTTTTAAACTTTCTTTGCATGTCATAGTGTATGTGATTCACTAGCACTACAATTACAAATAGGCAGCATATTTGGTTGAACTAACTCTGCAGTATAAATAATTAATTTTCCTGGGAAATTAAAAATAAGATTTTTTAATAACATTGATCTTAATGAATTTTTTTTATTTTATTTATTGCTGACATAGGTGGACGAGCTCACAGCCCACCTAGTGTTAAGTGGTTACTGGAGCCCATAGACATCAACAACGTAAATGCGCTATCATAAAATTGGTTTGTAGATGTTTAACTAACAACCCTTACCATTTGTTTCATTTGATTTGTTAGAATTTGTTAAAACTTGGACCTTATTATTTAATGTAGGTCTGATTGAACTAATGTTACAAAATCAACTTGAATGTTACATAAATTATCGTTATATTTTTTATAAATATATAAATAAAAAAAGAGTATTTTAATACCACCCAAGAGAAAAATCAATTTGATTCAAAAGTAATACCACAGTATTTATAATAGATGTAGATACAAGTTTTCAATAGAAAAAGTGGCACTCTTAGGGAATCTAATTAATTCTAAACATAATTTATCATATTAAAATATGTTGTCTAACACAAAATGTATATTTGAATCAGAAAATGTAGAAAGTTATTGAACTAGATACATGATTGAGGATAATTAAGTTGAAAGTTGTGCTCTTATTTTCACTTGTTTTTTTTCATGTTCCAAAATGTTAGTGATATTCTGTAAAAACATTGACTGTTCATCACAATGATGATGATGATGATGGTAATCATGATAATGATTATGGAAACATTAGTTTTTGGATATTTTTATGATTTATGTAATGTTTTAAATACATGGAGTGCTTATAAAAAAAACAAATGACAGTAAGTGGCAGGAAACTTGTTCATACAGAACCATTTAGATTAGCTACAGGCTACCTGCTTCAATATCTCAATCGGTTATAAACTTGTATTTTTGCCTGTTTCCAGGTTGCTACTGTCAGTAAAGAAACATCAAAAAGAGGTACTACTTTAAAATGTACCACTTGCAACAATTTTTCCACTTCGAGCGTTCGAACTTTATCCACACATATGGGCCAATGTTTCCCTGATAATAACAATGTGGCCGCTGCACAGAATACAGACACGCGTCCACATAGAAAAATATTCGAATGCGATGTGTGCAATATGAAGTTTTCAAATGGAGCTAACATGCGTCGACATAAAATGCGGCATACAGGGGTCAAACCGTACGAATGTCGCGTTTGTCAGAAAAGATTCTTCAGGAAAGATCATTTGGCCGAACATTTTACAACCCACACTAAAAGCTTGCCGTATCATTGCCCAATATGCAATAGAGGATTCCAGCGTCAAATTGCCATGCGTGCTCATTTCCAAAACGAACACGTCGGACAGCACGACCTCGTCAAAACTTGCCCTTTGTGTAGTTACCGCGCCCCGACCATGAAGAGTCTTCGAGTACATTTCTTAAACAGGTACATTGTATTTCTTTAAAATTAATGTTTGTATAGAATTACTAATATCACAATAATTGTAAATCACCTTTGGCACATTAGGGCTGTTTTAACCGAGTTCAATCAACATGCAGTAATTCACGAATGCAAGTTCTTGCCTCGATTACAAGACCCTAACAGTATTGCATAATCGAGGGAGCCTTGCCACTTAAATCATTCACTAAACTTTCCTGAATGAATCAGCCTTTAGGATCGGTGATTCTATATAAACATAGTTTTTTGGAGAAACTTATACTTGCTACAATTTTAATATAAAAAAGCCAGACTTACCATACTACCTGGAGCCACTGCGGTCATCCAAAGCGCATTTCCAGAGATTTTTTTTGCCACATACCATCGGGCTATGGAATAAGCTCCCCTTCCTGATGTTTCCCGAGCGCTGTGACATGTCCTTCTTCAAACAAGGCTTGTGGATAGTATTAACCGGTAGGCAGCGGCCTAGCTCTGCCCCTGGCATTGCTGAAGTCTATGGGCGACAGTAACCATTCATCATCAGGTGGGCCGTATGCTCGTCTGCCTACAAGGGCAATAAAAAAGAAAACTTAAAGTGGTAAAATGTTGACAGACACGGCATAGATCTCGATAACCCTGGCCCGGGCAACAACTCTGTGTCGGTGCTGGCGGCGGGCATCGCGAACGCGGCGTACGGCGAGGGCTCCATGGATCCGAGCACCATGTCGGCGCTGGGCGCGCTGGGCTCGGGGCTGTCCGTGTCGGTGGCGGCCGCGTACTCCGACAGCGGCGACAGCAACGGCGCGCGCTCGCTCGACAACGCCACGCCGCCGATGCACTATCTCACCCCGCACGTCGAAATATCGATGGCCGACAACAACGAAACTTTCTCACCTGCTCAAAACCATTCCGGTATGTGTTTTTCCCAATTTAATTCCGTAACATAGTATTTTATTATTTGGTAGGACCTCTTGTGAGTCCGCGCGGGTAGGTACCACCGCCCTGCCTATTTCTGCCGTGAAGCAGTAATGCGTTTCGGTCTGAAGGGTAGGGCAGCCGTTGTAACTATACTGAGATCTTAGAACTTATATCTCAAGGAGGGTGGCGCATTTACGTTATAGATGTCTATGGCCTCCAGTAACCACTTAACACCAGATGGGCTGCGAACTCGTCCACCCATCTAAGCAATAAAAAAAAACTGCGTTACATAATAAATAAACGTGCTCTATATCATAACAGATTCTCGTGTTAACGGCGAGGGTCCCAGCTCTCCGCAATCAGGCGACAGCGCTATCGCCAGTAGCTCCCTCACCGCCGGCCTGCCTGCTAACATCACTCCCTCCATCACTCTCATACCCATCAAGCAGGTTCGTGATGTCAAAACTTTATTTGAAATTTATAAATGATTGTTTATCTATTACTAGCTGATGTCTGATGCGCATCGCTTCACCTAAAACAATCTACCATTTAACTAAATGAACGTTTAAATAAAATAAAACACTTTTTATTATTATTTATGATTTCTATTATTCTAATGGTTTTGCCAATATTGAACAAAAGCAAATAAACTTGCCAGTTGAATTCGAAATTCAAAAGTTCAAAATATAAAAATCACTGCCACCAGCGCCGCCTATCCGTTACTAATTTAACTACTGGGTACAACTACATATTATATTCTCTTATTTATACAGATATGAGATTCAATTTGATATTATTCAAGGAAGAATTCGGTTCTTATATAAATTTAATTTCAAAAGATGAATTATGAATATTTTATTTAAATAACTAGCTGACCCGGCAGACTTCGTAGTGCCTTAATCGACAAATAAAAGACTTAAACTTTTGTATAAAATAAACTTAAAACAAATAAAAGGAACCCGTCCGACACATCAAAGGAAAAACAAAATTGTTATTTTTATTTAATTTCGTGCATTTTCATATTTATCTAGATTTTTTCTGATGAATCTTAGGAGCCAAACACGCAGGAGGAAGGTTCGGGCGACGGCGGCGGCGAGACCAACGGCGACAAGCGCGGCGTGTCGTCTAGTCTCTCGTCAATCATTAAAGTATCGCCCCTTAAAAGCTTACTCAGGGAAGATCTACGTCGCCGTATAACAGCCCGCGGTCGCGGGAACCGCTCTAACGTACGTATGAAGCTTCATTATAGCTCAGCTCTAATTTCTGCTAATAAACAACAACAACTCGTTTCTAAATAAATAGATTACTTTGAGCCTTACACCCACTTGCAAGATTCTTTTGAGGACACGAGCTCCACGATTCAGCTGCTGTTAAGCTGTTACCATAACTCTTAGATGTCAAAATGTGAATACGCCACCAGACTAAAAGACCATTACTAACTAAATGTATTAATTCTATAGAGGGGTGAAAAGTTATTCGGTTCAACATTTTTCTAACTTTACGGAAGAGCCATTTCAAGTTTAAAATTTGGAAAAAATATCGTAACAAAAAACTACTTTAACTGTAAACTTAATTGCGTTTCAAATAAAAACATCGAACTGTTGATACTAACACTAAATAACACGTTTAACCTCCAATTCTCGGTATGTATGTATGTATGTTTGAACGATTTTGAATAAATATTATTTTTATCGATCAGGGTTCCCGCGCGTCTCCTTCCGAGGGCGGCGTGATCACGTCGACATACGGCGACGCGGCGATGTTGCCGTCGTCGCTGGTGTGCACGTTCTGCTCCATAACGTTCCCGGACTCGACGCTGTACTTCCTGCACAAGGGCTGCCACTGCGACTCCAACCCGTGGAAGTGTAACATCTGCGGCGAGCAGTGCTGCAACGTATACGAGTTCAACTCTCACCTGTTAAGTAAGAGCCACCAATGACTGTTTGCTGGGGGGCCGTTCGATCACTGACTACTAGTTGATGATGCACTATTCCTATGCGATCTGACGCATAGACCCGTTAGCACTTCGAAGATACTTCACCGTTACTAGATACTAGAATGTTTTCTGTCTTTTCTTGTTAACGTTTTCTAATTCTTGTTAAGCACTGTTGAGTTGAAGTGCTTCGAATATGCTATACGCTAAACGTCCCCCCGAAGCTGTCTTATATAAAAGTGCAAATTATGTCGAGGTATATAGTATATATATATATACGAGGTATTTTAGGGGTTATGATAGATAAATGCGCGAGGATATTTATATCGATATTTTAGTACTTAAATGGGTAAACGTTCATGGTAATTGTGTTAACTCTTAATACATTATCATGTTAAAAATATGACTTATGTTAAGACTCGAGAAAAGTATACATTCCAAATTGTAACCCGTACATTCCATAAAATAATGAGATTGACATTTGAATCGTTAAAATCTTTGGCGGGGAATGAAGTGGCTACCTACTTAAAAGTTATCATAAAGAAGATATATTTTTATTTATTGTTTATCTTGCAGTACTCAGCTGCACTTAACCGTAATCTAAAATCAAATTAAGAGTATTTTGGTGCGATAGTGAATTATACAAATGTTTATTATAACTTAAATGGAGAAGAGTGTACAAATTAATATATTTTTACATTTCGCTGTTGACAATTTTATGGGAGGCAAAGCCTGCATATCCGTGATTATTTAATTATTGTGATCATGTACAGACGGGAATTATAAATTCTATATTCCATTTTATTTCTTGTTAAAAAATGCATTTGATGCAAGTCCACGACTAATACTTAATGTACAAGTTTATTTTTTGTTATTTTTATTTATTTAATCTTCTAAATTGCGAGCTAGTTTTAAATTTTCTTTATGTACTTAAAAACTATTTTATGGTGCAAATAATGATTATATGAAGATCATATGCTAGAAAAAAGAATTGGAATTATACCACGAACTTGCTCAATATCGCTCAAGTATAGAGCATTTTGAGTTTTCTTTTCGCACAAAAAGCATAATACACAGGTAATATATAATAATATGATTCTTGTGCCGCAATTAATGCTCCCTCGGCAAATCGAGTGCTATTATTAGGTGCCTTCTCATTTCAATGTTACCATGTCACGTTGTACTGTTGAAAATTTTATTTTAAAATTAATTTATATTACTTTTTTGTGTTCAATTAAATTTGATGAAGCTATGAACTATGGTTCATCAATCAAACTATGAATATGCTCTTGGTTTTTCACCCTAAATTATTATCTAATTTCTAATTTAACTTTTTATTTAAATTTATTATTCTCTTCAAACCAACCTATGATGGAGATTTTAATGTGTAAAACGAAGCCTTTAAAAAGGAATTAAATATGAGAATGTGCTCAACATATAAGTGAATTAGTCGAATACTATTACGAAACTACTTAAATATAACCATATCATTACGAAAAATACAAACAAAGAAACAAATTATTCAGGCCCATTACATCAATTAAAAATGTTCAATTATATATATTATATAATTAATAAGTATAGATTAATTGATAGATTTATAGGGTACCCATTTTATTTTATTATAATGCATTCCATGTTTTAACTAATTGGTAATTCCGTTCCACTACTGTTCTTTTTACCTGAATGAGACATTCCTTTAGCTATTAAGTACTTAATATTCGGTTGTGGTCTTGCCTGATAAGTTATCGAAAATGTCCTTAGATGAAACTGAAATTATGTTTACCAACGAAAGTTTGAGTTTTGTTTTGTTAGTTACAATGGTACTAGGTATAAGGCGCGGCAACGCTACGTGGACCGAGTGAGTTACCTGAACATAGCAACACTTGTTTATATTTTAATTTATACATCACTAGATTTTAATCGCCAAAAATAAAATAATACATTAGCGGTCGCATGTTGTAAATGTGTAAAATTTTTTTTTGTACTAATTCTGATAGCCTTAATAGGCTATTTCAGCTTCTCCTTCACGTGTAGATGAGCTCTCGGGGCTCAAACCCGGAGTGTTGCTAACACTAGGCCTAGCAAGATCAGTGCTTCACTGAATCTACCACCGGATCGGAAACGTGACCCACTGAAAAGATCAGACGAGAAACCCAGTGGGCTGTGTCTATGGGTCAAATCTGTGATCACCTCGCGAACTATTAATATGATACCGTGATAAAATTGTGAACACGATAGTGGGCCACATGATTTGTTTACAACCTATATATAACCAATAATTAGTAGTATTTTTTATTTATTTTTGTTTCGATTATAAAGAAAGCATTTAGTATTGGTTGTAGATAGAGAACAGTATTTTTCTTTTGGTAATTAAAAAAATAGTGGTGTATGTATAGATTCTTATTTTATGACTGTTTCATTGTTGTTTAATTTAAAAAAACTGGGATGTTATTGTTGGTCCCTGCCCGTTGCGCCGCGTTTTAAATGTAAGACTAGGTGTACATGAGCTATTATTAATCGGTAACCCCACTGGGCGCCTTGACTTAATCCGTCCATATCTAATGATAGATATTGCCTTAAAATATTTATAGAGTAATATATTTTATAGATTTTAGAGATTAATATTAAGAGAATATCTAATTATAAAGTGTTTTCAGAATTGCAGAGGTTTAAATAACGTAGTTATATTTATTTATCTTTATTGTGATCTGTGCTATCGATAAATCAACTTTGACAAGACACAAAACTATAAAGTTAGAATATATTATTAATTTTATTAGCTTTGCTATTATTTTCTATAGTCAAATATTTTATTCTAACAATTTATTAACGGCATATAAAAAGTTAAATCTCTAAAAACAGTTTTGTGATTATTCTTGTGTAGAGCAATTGATTTATTGATAGAACCATGAGCACTTTGTTGATTGTTGCAGTTTAAATAATTTTCATGAATAAAACGAATTATTTTTTTATTTATAAATTAATGAAAAAATCATTGTTTTCGGAAAGTATTTTAAATTCCACAAATCCGAACAATTTCATTATTATTATAGTTCTTGAAATAATCCTCTTTCTGAAATGAATCCTATTCAGAAATATTCAGTAAGAAACTGTGTGGTAAAAACCTACTTCAAACACCGTCCGTAAAATTCATTTTAATAAAAAAAAAATACTTTTAGCTTAGAACCCTCACTTTAATACCAAAACACAGTTTACCAACATGTAATTATGGCTTAAGTTGTTATATTATTATATGTTTTATGATGTTTAAGATAGACGAATTAATAAAATTTAAAAGCAATGTAACCTTAGGAAGACAGGAAATGATATTTTGCTGTTACATTTATTTCATCAGTTTAAGTGATTAACTTATATTAATATTTAAAAGTTGTCGTAAATAACGTGTTTGACTCATGAGTGATAGTTACTATATCAAATTTAGCAATTTGTGCCTTAGATCAATAGATTTGAAAGATTCTTTAGATGTGTGTGTTTTCACAATATATCTAATATACACTAAATTATTTTTGTCATATTGTTTATTTACAAATGAAATTAAAAANAGTTTAAGTGATTAACTTATATTAATATTTAAAAGTTGTCGTAAATAACGTGTTTGACTCATGAGTGATAGTTACTATATCAAATTTAGCAATTTGTGCCTTAGATCAATAGATTTGAAAGATTCTTTAGATGTGTGTGTTTTCACAATATATCTAATATACACTAAATTATTTTTGTCATATTGTTTATTTACAAATGAAATTAAAAAATACGTAAGGGAACAATTACTGAAACTATAAGTGTCATATTGTACTACCTCAACACAAACGAATAATTGTCCATTTGCTAAACTAAACATATAAATACTTATCGTATTGGCACCGCAGTGTAAAGCGAAGTCGGTGGACGCTCCGCGTCAAAAAAGGTCGATAACTTTTTTTTCTCCTACCTATGCTGATAGCCTTGAGAGGCTATATCAGCTTAGCCCTAACGTGTAGGTGAGCTCACAGGGCTGTTGCTAACACTGGCCCTAGTAAGAACAGTGCTTCTCAGAATCTACCACCGGATCGGAAACGCGATCCACTGAGAAGGTCCGGCGAGAAACTCAGTGAGTTGTGTTTATGGGTTAATTCGCTCGTCGAGCCCTTCGCCGCAAGCGACGGGTTCGACGAGGACGGTGACCGGGACCGATAACTTCGTGCATCTTATTTTGTATGCTGTTACATTGCGTACAGTGCAATGAAAGGAAAATTTATCGCGCGAAGTTATTATGGCGTGCCAGCGCCACCTGTCTTCGTTTTCAGGAATGGTTCCCTTACACCCAATAACAATGTTTTAATGTATACAAAACGAAAATATATGGCTGTTTGCTTGTTTTATGATAAAGTTTATTTGCAGTTGAATTAAGATTGTTGAAGTCGTTACGATGATGTGCGATTAGTTAAATGAATGGTACTTATTACCAAGTAAGTAGTTCTATTTATTTTACTTTGTAATAATTTGGTAAAGGGTCTAATGAAACATTAATAAACTATGACAAATACAAATGGATTTTATTGTAGACTAAAGCCAGAAAGATATGTGAAATTGTTTTTAAATGATCCCGTGGGAAAAAAAAACATTTTCCATCGCACCAACCTTTATCTAAGCAGAGCTTATTCCTACTACCTCAAACTTCTTTGTTCATCCATAATTTACCTACGCGTGATTTGTCTGGTAGGAACTATTGCCTTGCCAGATATTTTCGAAGCACTACAACTGCTCAATCGAAGTATAAAAAGTGTCCTCAGTGTTTGATCGTGTCCATGAGCGATGGTGACCACTCAAGCATTTGGAGCATATCTGTCTTTGAAGACCTTATTTATATGTCAAATAATGCAGGTTTATAAATATTTAAATAGTGTTCTTTTTCGTACTAGTCTTCTAAATTGGATGGAACTAAGTACATAGTTGAATTATTCACAGCTCTGCCGCACCTCAAATTTGGTTTTTTTTTATTGCTTAGATGGGTGGACGAGCTCGCAGCCCACCTGGTGTTAAGTGGTGAAAACAACTAATACTACGATGCTATTGAAGAGTTTCCTAAGTGGAATCTAGGTACTCCTTCTCTTATACTTTTTAATACTCTGACTTATGATATTTATGCTGTCACACCAGCAGTTTCCTGGTGTAGCTACCCTATGATTTTTACTAGTTTTGTATGAGTCAGGCTACCCCTCTAGTGATCTATAGCTCATAGCTTTCTAATCTAAAGAAAAATTATCATTGATACACAGAAAATTATCATTCTAAGGGATTCTCGCTTTACAGATTTGGACTCCAAAATAATCTAATCATTTATCATAAATGTACTTGATAAAAGTGTAATTTTATCTTGATTTTTATAGATCTACTTTCCTAGTTACCTATTGTACAAAATTGATTTTCAATTACTTAGCTTGTAAATTAACTGATGAGCACAGAGTAAACGAAATTCACATACTTCTGTTTATGAATCTGGCCACTACAGAGAATTTCTTGTTAGATTCAATATTTTTGTTAAGAATATTGGATATTCTGGATCTGGGTGTTTTAGAGTTTCAATTGTCATTTGGAATAATTGCATGTGTGAGCTGGAACATTTTAAGAGAAGTTAACTAGAAGATAAGATAATATAGGTAAGATAAAAAAAAATCTTTATTTTTACGATCCCATTAAAAATAATGCCACACAACTTATTTTTTGGTCTTTAATTACACTGACATAAATGGCCAAAAGGTTTCTGCCACTGCCCACCAAATTAAAAACTCTAAAGTTTGTGCCTGTCAAAGTTTTGTTGACAAAAACTTTACTCTTTTGAATTTTTGTTATATTTTAAAAAATTATAACCATATTAAATGGTACATAGTTGTTTTTTCTTGTTTTCATTCAAAATCACTGTTTGAATTAGTTAAAATGGGTAAAAAAACCGAGGTCGACAGTGATAACAACCCAACTTCTTCGGATTCGGATCCTGCAAAGTTGTTAGAAGCAGCACTGCTTCAAATGGATGGTATTATTGCGGGTAAGCTTTAACTTACTACCTACTTATTAGTTGTTATCAACATTAATAAAAAAGTTACTGATATCCAGTAATCCGCGGAGTTTATGCTCTGCTGAACATTAAGGTTTTGGAGGCCTAATTATTATCACATGTAATATTTTTATACATAAAGTAAAAGGAAGATGAACTCTCAGTTGGCAGGTAAGAAATTATAATTTAGAATGATAAGGAACATACATTTTTAAACTTTCCACAGCACAAGGTGTTTGCTTTAATGTACATAAATTATATAATGTATAACTTTCCAAATAAGTAACCAAAAATGTGTTCAGCAGTTATGAATTTATTATAGAACTTTTCTGCCAATATACAGCTTACCTAGTGTAACTCCATTAACCATGAAACCAAGTTATCACAAGAATTGAAGTTGTCCATGACCACAAAAACTGTGAACGGTTCAAAATAAACAGAAAACAACAAACACAAGAAAAAACAAAAAAAATGTTTTCAAATATATAAGTAAAAACTAACAGGGCCTATTGTAATGTATGTGCGCTGTATATATGAGTGTGGGTCGTGATTCTGATCTGGTGTTGATTCTGCGAAGCACTGCTCTTGCTAGGGCTAGTGTTAATAAAGTTGAACCTGTGAGTTTATCTAATTGGATTGGAAGAAAAACACATTACTTTTATTGGTATAAATTGTTTGAGTGTGTAGTACTTAGTGTAGTGTTATGAAAAAAAAAACACTCATCTAATCTATAGGGCTGAAACAGTATATATTTATAGAACAAAATTAAAGTAACGAAACTGAGTGTTTTTTTTTCAAAATGAAACAGTAACATGTTTCGGAACTAAATAAAAATCAGCCAGTGCAAGGTTGTTTGATAATAAAAATGTATTTTAAAATGATAAAGGCAAACAAAAAAGTTACATATCTCAGATTGCTTATCTTACATAAAATCTTGAGTATTGGTAGTTCATATGAAAGAAAAGGTTGATATAATAAAGGTTTAAATTTATTTTGGGTAATAGGTT